GGCTTACTTACTGCGAGTTTCTTAAAATGAAAGAGAAGCTATTTAATATTAAAACAATACATTACCGTTGGAGATGCTGACCTCCAAATGTACTTTTCATTACCCAACATTGCCACATAAAAATAGCTGGAGAAGTATACCACCTCGATCAACATTTACTTTATTTATGCAGCATTTTAGAATGTCCAGTATTTGGTAAAATTCTCAAATACACCTTTAATTTTGAAGCTCGTCTTCTGTAAGTTCTTCTACAGTACTGACTCCAGAAAACCAGCTTCAAAGAAGTTGTGACTGAGATCAACAACTTGTTAGATTCTCAACGCTCTGAAACAGCACGTAAATAGAGTAAATCTATACCACATGGAGTTTCTTCCCACACATGCATGAGAGTGCAATACTGTACAGTATATATGGAAGAACAGCAAGTGCCTCACAGAGGAGATCACCAGCTCTTGGAAGTACTTGGAACTCTTCTTCTATGTGGCTAAACTTCAGAGATGTAACATTCTTCCTGTACTTACAGTAGCTTTTTCTCCATTAGGTGTATAGCGGAATGCTACAGAAAAAAAGAGGTGAGGAAAACGGGATTCAGTTTTTTGGGGGGTCAGCCGGGCTTCTGACACATCCGGAAACCCATCACCATGCTTACAAGTATCCAAACCAAGCTGAGATTTCCTTGCATTCCACTGACACATGGAAATCCCAGAGATAGATTGTTGGAATGGAATGCCCTCTCTCTCTCTCCCTGAAGGGACACCTCCTGCTTACCTAATTCCTGAAAGTATTAGGCGCAGGTTGGCAAGAGCCAAGGCTTGTGGACCCCAGAGTGTGCGTTGGGGTAACTGCTGGAGTTTAACCAGCTAAAACCACATAGATTGCCATTGATATTCCCTGTCTGGCAAGCTTTCTTGTTGCTTGTCCAGCTAGGACCACCCTACCCATTAAGGCTTTGGCTTGCAGGGTCAACAGGAGCTGAGTGAGATGACTCCCTGCGCCCAGTGACTGGTCTGCCTTCCAGGTCCTGCCGATGAGCTAGGCTGGCTGTGCTGTCCTCAGTAGTGCCCTGGAATACTGCTCAGGAAAAATCAAACTGTGGAGAAATAAAGCAATGAAGCAGTGTACCAACCAAGCCTGATCATGAGCTGGGAACACTGGAGCAGATTACAAGGTTGTAACTTAATCAGGCAATTCAGATATCATAAACTGGTGACAGCTAAGCTTCAGTGATCTCCCCAGTCAAGCAAACCAAGAGAGTGTGTTACAGCCTTGAACACGGGCTCAAACATAGTTTCTGTTTTCATAATAAATGCAGCTCAGTATTTTTTGTGTGTTATTTGGAGCTCTCCCATTGGAGTTTGCATCATGATCCTTATGCCCACAACCGTTGCTATGGCTTCTGATTTATTTCTGTGATACTCAGCCTCACATGAAAGGAAGTATCCATGTATTACCAACTTGTGAGAGTTGGCTTGGGTTCTAATCAAATTGAGGGCTTTATGCTGGGAAATAGGCACTATTTTACACATACAGATCCTGAGTATATTGTAAATTATTAACTAGCTCACGGCAAGAACATTTCAAGTAGTCAATAAAAGGAATTGCAGATGCCCTAACCTAAATGATGTAACTAACAACCAATGAAATGACGACAGAAGCACTTGTAATAGTAGTATTCACACTCGCCTGTAAGTTCTGCTCCACACATGTGTTTACACATCTCAGTGTGAAATTGTAACTTGTGTTGTGTTAATTATCACCAGTTAATGATGCAAGTCAATAACTAAAGACCGTTGATAACTAAAAACTGTAGTGTAGGCTGGCTTTGAGCCCAACCGTTGTGACAAAAACAAAGGGTGTGTTGAAGTCACACCTGTACTTCATTGGACCTGTCACCCTCTGGCTCCTGATGTCAATTTAGTTCCAATTTTCTTTACTGCGTAAAGCCAGTGTCCCACGAGCTATGACAGCATCCACACAGTGTTCATGCCTGTGCCTTTGTCACTCCCATCACTAGGCTATGAGGGAATTAACTGTCATTATGCGTTATGCAAATAGAAAATTAACATAAACAGATACATCTCTGGGTAGTTAAAATTAAGTAGTAAGAATTGTACATCTTAAGCAGTGCCTTTCCACGCACAGAGCACATGAGACTGTTAATGAACACTCCATTTATTACATAGAAAGGACTGAAACCTTATTAGAAATGTGTTTGGTATATTCTGATTTGAATCTCAAATATGAGTGTCAGAAACACATTTATGGCATAATTTTCCACAATTGGCTTTCCTAACTCCTTTGTGTCTGAAATTTGCATTACCCAAACTCAAGAAGTTTGGGTAATGCGGTGTGACACGCAGAAATTGAATTCCTCATATTCTTAACCATTCCGACTCATTTTTACCTCCTTAATTGGTTTGTGCGATTGGAAATTAAGTGTGTACCAAAATCAAATATGAATGTGCTACAAACTTTTCTTCAGTCATGAAGGACCGGTTAAAGTGACTTTACTTGAACCATTGCATATTGCTGATTCGTTGATGCTATGTTTGTTCTGCCGGAAGCAAAGTTGCTTCATTGCCAGCAGTGTAATGATGTGGAGCACGAAACTAAGATTATACTTTGCACTAAAAACCACTGTGATTCATGGCCAACACCCAATATTGTTCTGGTACACATGCACAGGACACCAAAGGCATGTGTTTGTTTTTTATCAATGACATCTTAAAGAGCTGCTTGTGTGACATGCTCTTTAAGAACTAAAGAAACCATAAATTGGTTACTCAATCCACCCACAACTGTTTGTGGGACACTGTGTGCACAATTGAATGCCCACAAAACATACAGTCACTTTATAGTATATTCTGCAAAGCATTTGAGAAGTCTCGAAGACATGATAAGGCACTATATCAAATGCAAGGATTATTATTATTAATATTATTTGAAAAGTGGTCAATTAAAAGCTCCCAGGCTCAAGAGCCTTGAATGCAGCATGGAGGAGCACACACAGTGTCATTCTGACTCGTCTCATGTATTTCACGACTCCTAGTCTACCTTGTCCAGGTGGTGTCAGGAGCACGGCTTTGCTGTATTGTTTTGATCAGCCAACACCTGCAGAAAGAACCCCATCACCATGCTGAATAGAATCAAAACCAGACTGAGAGTTCCATATATGAATGGCATCTACACATGGACATTTCCCTGGGTCGTCTGACCTGCACTGCTTGAGAGTTCAAACTTTTCTTTTATTATGGAGCCTTTTTGGGTTCAGTTCTCACCTGGAGCAGTGGTCAGATGAATGAAAATGTTTCAAATGGGACGGATAGGTTTCTTTAGCAACGGAATCTTTCAGCATATCAAGAAGAGTGTGGTCTGATATCTAGTCCTGCAGGAAGATAGACTAGATGAAGATAAGGGCCTGAAGATCAGAAGTGGTATTGTAAAGCCTTATGTGAAAATAGGTCAGAAATGACTTTTTGATCCAAACTTGTAGATTTGAAAGAAGTGATCGGAGAAGGCTCAATGGCCTTCTCTCATTCTGAAACTTGTCTTATCGTTAGCAAACTGCTTCCATGTATAGTTTATACTGTACATGGGTAGAAGATGCATCTTTGACTGTCAATCAAGTGATTATCTCAAAAGTTTCTGGATTACAATAAAATCCTGTAGGAATTCCTATCAATTTGGCAGACGGCTTTTGCTACAGCAATAAAGATCAAAGACAGAGGTAGAAATGGTGTTTCCGAGTAATGCGATGAGATTCTCCCTGTAAAACTTGTCAATAGTGTTGTATTTGTTTCATGGTATTCCTATGTACATAAACAAATGCTATTGTGTTATGACAAGTACAAAAGCAATTGAGGCATGTTGAACCAAAGCGTATATACATAAGAAATGCATCCTGGTAAATACAGGATAAACTGTGATAGATAGGCAATAATCTTTTATGTTTAACTTGCTTTTTTGTCTTGCTTGTGGGGGATTTTCTTCTCTTTTTCTTCTCTTTGATCCAGTACACTTTAGATTTTGTTTATGTCTCTCTCTCTCTCTCTTGCTCTCCATTTTATTTTCCTTTGTCATGGCTGGCAAGATTCTTGAATCCATTCTCAAAGTTTTCATGATAAGCAGGAAGTTAGAACCTTACATATTAACGTGATGTGTTTTATTTTAATACATTGTACCTGTTAAATTAAGACTGTGGTATTCCCCAAAATATTGCATTCCTTATGACCCCTCAATCTTTTGAACACCCCTATATCTTGTACCACCTTTGACAATAACTGTGTTACTTTTGTACTGCATCAAAATACTATTCATTGACAATAATGGCTGTTTTGTGTATATTGATAGTAGTATATCTTGTGCTACTGTATCATATTTCCAGTGATTATCAAGGCAGACTTTCCAAGTGATTTATTTGTGATTTAAAGAGGAAAAAAATTCTAGAATTCAAAATCCTAGTCCTCATTATCACGGCCCTCCAAGGCCTTTCCCCCTCCTACATCTCTGAACTGTTGACCCCCTATCAACCTGTCCACTCCCTCCGCTCAGCAGGCTCCGGTCTGCTCCAGTTCTCCCGCCCGACCTGTCCTACCATCGGCAGCCGGGCTTTCATCCTCTCTGTCCCCACTCTTTGGAACTCCATCCCACAATCCCTCCGCCTCACTCCCTCTCTTGCCTCCTTCAAGACTCGACTGAAGGCCCTGCTTTTTGACCATGCCTTCAGCCCCCCCCTCCCACCCCCTCTGCCCACCCTCAACCCAACCCTGTCCCCCCACGCTCGGGTCCTGATCCCTGACTGTTCAGCGCCTCAGGACGTCCTCCTGACCCGAAAGGCTCTTTACAAATATAATTTTGTTGTTGTTGTTGTTGTTGTTGTTGGAAAGAGAAACATTTTGAACCACACTAAATATATTTTACGTACAAGATCAACTCTTGTCAAGTTGCTCCAAGAGCAAAATATCTATGATTCTAACAGTGCGTATTTTTCCATTTTTCAGGGTGCTTTTTGCTGACAACTACACAGAGACACACTATCTACATGATGGCAGTGCCATCACAAACACACAGAATCATACGGTAAGTTTACTGAGACTTAGCTGCCAATAATAAAACCATACCTCACTAAAATATCTGAATTGGGAATACCTTGCAGTGCACTTATCCCACACATCCTTGTACACTATGCTCCAATATTAGAGAGGTATCAAGAGTAAACTTGGCCACACTGGCTTAATGGAAACAAAGAATATGGATATCATGCAGTGTATCGTTAATCAGAATGATAAGAAAGATCACATTGAGTTCTGTGCTGAGTTAGCTGATTGGCAGCAGTTTGGAGAGCTACATGTGTCATTGGGTTATGGAGGGAGAAAATTAGCCAAGCTCTTGCTCCCACAGACTCCTGTAAACAGGATTGGCCTCGGCTGTGATACCTTCTCTCCCAGTTGAATACCCTGACAAGGATCACCATTTAGACACACTGCCAATGGCTCACTTGGTCAAGTTCGCAGAGGGCAACTGGTTCCCATAGAACTGTACTCCCAGTAGAAGGTTGGAATATCATGGCTTTTTAAATATAAAACAATGCAGATGGTATTTGCTTTGACACATCAGTGCTGTACTCAGTCTTTGAAAAGATCTTTCAATAAATATTTTAAACTTCTATAGCTGCTTCCTCCTTAAACATGAAATAAAAATGAATTTCTATTCACTTCAGTTAAGGCAGTTAAGTCTGAGCCCTTAATATTCTTTGGTCAGTCCTTGATATCTGACCATATGGTGAATCAGTCTTCGGATGGTCAATATTCTAACTTCACGGCGATGATCTTGCAGGTTTGCTTCGTAAGGGGCAGATTTATATAGAGCGTTGGTGACAGCTTTTGCTGGATGATTTGCTGATGGTGTCTGGTCTCAGGAGGGTAGTTGAGGAAAGGAAGAAGTAGTTTCACTTAAAAGCATGACACTCTCATTGATATATTGCACTTTCAAAACAGATGGTCAGGGGTGGTCGGATGAGACTTGCCCAGAGCAAAGCGAAAAGCGAAAGAACATTAGTATAGTGGACTCTGACCCTCAGCCCTCTGAGAAATGTTGAGTGACTGGTCTCCCACCGAATCTAAGAAGAATTTAAGAAGAACCAAAACTGCTAAAGCTGCTTTTATCTCCTTCACCTGAACAGCAAAGTGGCCATTTCACTACTGCTCTTGGCACACCACCTTCCCGCCATTGTGCACTAAAAATACATCACCAAAGCCTATGATTTGTTCAGCCCTGTTGGACAATTAAAACTGAGATTAATTCCAGTTAACGTTTGGCTCCGCAAAGTGGATTTTTCTGTTCTTCCCGCAGTCCCCCATTTTGTGACGAAACTAGAAACTTACAAGATATGCTCAGCAGATTGATCTGCATCTTAAAGTGAATCATGGCTTCTCGTGAAAGGTCAGACCAGCAACATTAACCTAGGAATTTAAAGGACCATAAAAGAGTATTGTGGTCCATCCAGTTAGTCCCAAAGGTGTCCAGGGAACTCTCTGTGTGGGCACCAGCAGACACCCCTCCCCACAACATAAACAATTATTTTTCCAGTGAATCCTCTGTATGTCAGGCAAGAGTTGAGCATATTTTGGCTTATACTTGACATGTCATTGGAGCTTAAGTCTTGCAACTCTGAAAGCCATATAATAAGAGATGACCTTGAACAGGCTATATTACCGGTGAACAGAAGAGATAGAGAGGTTAGTTCAATCTTTGATTCTTCAGATTCTCTCCCGGAGAAAATCCCTCACCTTTACTCACAGTCTCTCTCGCATCAGGCACTTAGTATTTGAAGAATTGGAGAAATCTAGAGCAAAAAAGCAATATTTCACTTAGATCCACCTCTTTCACTTGGCCATTGTTACAGCTTCCAAATATGTTTGTGTCATTTTCTTCCTAAAATTAAGTCCTTGAAGCATAACAATGAACATTCAAGCACAGGATGAGAACAAAGAAGCATATGTGTATTTATACAATACTCTGAAGAAAAAGGATATTACAATCTCACATTTTGGATGTAATGCAAAATAGAATAATACAGTTCTCGAAGGGATTCCGTTCCCTGCTTATTACTGTAGCAGCAGGGAAAAAATATTGCAGAAAATTAGGGTTTAAAACTTTAATTTCTCCAAGATACAACCCAAAAGTTCATTCCTGGTCAAATCCCAACTCTGCATAAGACAATCTGTCCTCTAAGGACTCTCTGCTGGTTACTTCTGCTTGGGTCTCTTTTATAGTGCTCATTTTCACAGTCATTTCCTGATTTTCTGCGAGTGATTTCCTCTCACATACCAGTGGTTTGAGCTCCAGGAGCCAATGAGGGCGGGCTTTAAATTGAACGGTCACCAGAGGATTCCATATAACCTGCTCTCTGGGGAGTTCAATGGTCTATTTTCTAATTGAAAGCAGGTGGGACCTGCCATGTGATACCAGTGAAGAATTCCACCACTTCTAACTCCCGAATCGAAAACGAACTTGAGGTTTCAGATTGTCCATTTATTTTCTCACTCGCCAACCTGGTTTCTTGCAGTAACTGTGACTTCCGTTTGGCAGAATATCAGGTTTACCAAATTCAGGAACAGTGAATTTCCGGTCGGCAAAGTTCGTAAACGGCCCCATGAGAATTGACTGAGGTTTTACTTTTGTTTTAGAATCAGCTGATGTAGGATTCACCATCAACCCAGCCACACATATTCACTGTGAATTTCACAGTTTGTTAATTTCTTAAACCAGAAGTGCTAATTAATGCAAGACATCCAGTTTGGGAATACTGCATTTTAGACACCACTCCAATGAAGTTCCACTTGTGTGGCATCAGTTTCAATGCAGTTTTCATATTAACTCGGGACTATAAGTACAGTATTAATCCACGAGTGAAAAAGTTGATTCAGATGCGAGTCCTGATCGTGAAATCATCAGATGCAACACAAAACTAGTTATGGTTCAGATATAGGACTTTAAAAGTTTTTGACTGGTCTTAAAGTTCTTAATACCATTAGAGAGCCAAACACATTCCAACTCTTTAATAACATTTGAAAGATAACCCTGCCTTGCACTGGATAGCGGTACTGTGCACAAGAGCTTAGGTGTGCCCTTATAGAGTTCTCTTCAATCCCTGGCTCAAGAGAAATCTGGAGCAAGTAACTATGAATCAGGTTTCCCACTCTGAATTACTGTACACTGGAGCGATGCCACATCACACCCAACTGTGTATAAAGGGCATTAAATGAAGCTGACTACGTTTTAACCAGCCTTGGCATGCAAGTTTAGAATGTGGCACCTGCCATCCTAACTTGGACATATATTGCTATTCCCTTGTTATCGCTTGGTCAATGTCCCGGAACTCCCAATTTAACACTTTCATAAGAGGACTTTCCCACAAGGCCTTCAGCTGTTTAAAGAGAAAGTCTACCATCACCCTCTTAGGGCAACCAGGGATGGGCAACACATGTTGCACTGCCAGCATCACACACATCCTAAGATATATTTCACCTACAAATTCAGTCACTACACTTTACAGTAAATCCTGCGAAGAGCTTTGAGCCTCCTAAAGTGAAAGATGCTATGCAAGTACAAGGATTATTTTTATTGGAGAGTTTTGAGCAATTGAAACCAAAATTAGATTTCCAAGGAGTGAAGTAACTTGCATAATTATTGCATTTTTTCATCACATTTAAACATCTCAAAGCACTTCATAGATAATTACTGTTACGTGAAGTGACTGTTTTTCTTGGCCAACATGGTGTCCAATTGTACCAGCAAGGTCCAACAAAGAATGATGAAGTGAATGACCATTTAAATTAAAGGATTGTTGGCCAGGACTAAGTAAGAGAACAACTCATGCTCGGTTTCCTGTTCTGAGGAGAGAAATACTTTTGTGAAAAATAACTTCTAAAACAGTATGTAATTGAGATTCCTTCCAAACTAGAAATTGTACGCCCTGTGCAATAAACATGTTTTGCTTCTAAGTCACTGACATACAACAAAACAAGTAATAATCCCAACTCTGACTGATAATAGAATTCACTTTTCTGATGCTCTTAAAGAGGATCTAATTCTGGGTGTAGATTGCACATGATCACAAGAGAGGTTTGGATGAAGGTTAAAAATTGAAGCAGAGAAAGTTTCCCACAATACAGTGGATATCTGGAACAGTCTCCCAATTGAAAACTGTGTTTAATTCAAAGAGAGGTTTGGATCAAGAAGGCTATTCGGCCCATTTGATCTCAGGTTTCCAGAATACGCACCATACCACCCTCCCATGGCAGCGTCAAGTTGTTTTTTCAAACATGTCCAATTTCCTGGTCTCAGTTTTTAATAATTTTTATTTTTAAAGCACTACTTAATAATAATAATCAGAATCACCATAATAATAATAATCCTATAGCTTTAAATGCAAGCTATTATTATATTATTATATTGAGGGAGCTTCTCTCAAGTGTCCAGACCAACAATCCTCCAGATAAAAAAATTGGTCATTCGCTTGACTGTACTTTAAATAATTGTGGTTTAAGGGGAATGTTGGACAGCAGAGTAAGTAATTCACTATTCCATGAATCTACTGTGCAAGGTTTTGAACTCAATTTTAAAAAGAACTGGGTATTTTAAAAGGTTGGGAAAAATCATGTGGAAACACCGGATATTATATATTTTTAAAATCATTTTAAAAACTGCAATTATTCATTGAATTCCTTGAAATTATGGTCTTTAGACAGATGGAGATTTTGACAAATATCAATAGATTTAGAAGAATGGCAAATGTTACTCCTAGAAAGCTGCAAGTGTCTCTTAATTTCAGGGGTATGAGAAGCATTAACAACAACAACAAGATTACATCTGTATAGAGCCTTTCACGTCGGGAGGATGTCCCAAGGCGCTGAACAGTGTACAGTATTTCAGACCTGAGCTGGTGTCAGGGTGGAGAAGGGAGGGGAAAGGGGGTGACCGATGGCATGGTTGAACAGGAGGGTTTTAAGGTGGGACTTGAAGGAGGCTAAGGAGGGGGTGAAGCGGAGTGATTGGGGGATGGAATTCCAGAGGTTGGGGGCAGAGTGGCTCAAGGCTCTCTCGCCATGGTGGAGTGGGTGGGGCGGGGGACATGGAGCACGCCAGAGACAGCTGAGCAGAGGGAGTGGGTGAGTTGGTAGGAGCTTAGGAGGGTGGGGCGAGGTGATGGAGGGCTTTGTAGGTGAGGACCAGGATCTTGAACTGGATCCGCTAAAGGATAGGGAGCCAATGGAGTCGGGCAAGAATGGGGCAGATGGGGTCATGGAGTTTGGTGTGGGAGAGGACACGGGCTGCAGAGTAGCATAGAAACAGGAGTAGTAAATATAACATGGCTTGGTAGATGACTATTTTCCATGCTATCAAGAAAGGGAATACAAACATGAACGAGTGAAACGAATAAACACGTTGTAATTTCAGAGGCATGTCCTTTCCTTTAGCAAAGTAAATTCAAAGCAAACGTAGTTCTGTAACTGAGACTCTCAAAGTAAATTGAACAGCGGGTCATTGTTAGCTTACCAAAATGTCATGCAGTCTCACGCTGAGATATGGTAAAGAAGAAGGTAAGTCTGTAGTTAGTAGTATGAGTGAAAAATACATTACCAGAGATGAGCATTAATTTGGTTCAAACTTTTATTTTTCTGAAGTAATTATACTTAGATACAACAACAACAACAACAAGATTCCATTTATAGAGCGCCTTTCACGTCAGGAGGACGTCCCAAGGCGCTGCACAGTTGGGTCATGACCCGAGCAGGGGGGAAATGGTCAGGGTGAGGGGAGGGAAGGGAGGGAGAGAGGAGGGGGGAAATGGTCAGGGTGAGGGGAGGGAAGGGAGGGAGCGAGGAGGAGGAAGAGAGTCGAGAGGGGAGCTGAAGGCTCGGTCAAAGAGAAAGGTTTTGAGACCGGCCTTGAAGGAGGAAAGGGAGGAAGCAAGGCGAAGGCACTGGGGGATGGAGTTCCAGAGCCTCGGGGCTGAGAGGCTGAAGGCCCGACCACCGATAGTAGGGCGGTTGGGGCGGGGGACGTGGAGCAGACCGGAGCCAGAGGAACGGAGGGTACGGGCAGGTAGGTAGGGGGATAGTAGGTTAGAGAGGTAGGAGGGAGCGAGGCCGTGAATGGCCTTGTAGGTGAGGATGAGATACTGCCCCATTTCAGGCTGAAAAAAGAATGTAGACTGCAATAGGACAAGAGTTTCCCTCATTACATCTCAACCTACAAGGGGATAGCTATGGTCGTTTACCTTCTATTTTACCTTCTAATGGGGTAAGGTTCCACAGGCACCAGGCCTACCTCTAATAACTTTCCTAAGTGGCTATTATTTATGTGTGAACATTGACTGTCAGGTGACATTCAGAATATTGTTACAGGAGAATATCCTCCCTCCAAATAGCAGCTCCTGTTATTTCTACAGCAATCCTTTTGTGATTTTGCAATTTATTTGACGAATGGGATGAAACATTATTTCTTGAAAGGCTGACATTTGTGAGAAAAAGTGTAATTGACATCATACAATATTTTCTTTTAAGGGTCACTGCTACTACCATGGTCATGTGCAGGGATATCCTCAATCCACTGTCAGTCTCAGCACTTGTTCAGGTCTCAGGTATGAGTTACATACTCTTGCTTTGCAGTGTATCATTTTGGGCCGTGATTTGCATCTGCACGGAGCAAAGGTACATAAGAACAGGAGGAATCTGCCTGTTTAGAGTGAATGAGTCTGTTCACAATTGAACCATTCGTTTCAATCAATGGAAAGATTGTCTTCCATCAGATTTGTTTAATTATGATATTCTGAAAAATATAACAATGAGTCTTGGTCAACATCAGTCACCTCATTCTTCTCTTCCTACAATCCAAAGGCTTTGAAAACCCAAGCTTAACATAACTTAACCATTGCTTGTTAACTAATCTCTCCTTTTCTCACTACCAACCTTCACCTTGATTTCTCTTTGAAATAAAATGTAGATGTAGAACATAGCACAATGTCATAAATGGGGTACTCAAAACTCACAATATTTTCAGGATTCTATTCAACAATGCTGCCATAGGATTAGAAGCTTAGTATTGCATCAGAACAAATTATTTAATAAGAAAAGGAACTCTGAGCTAAAATATGTTTCATTTTCTCTAATCCTGTGAATTGAACTGGGTGCTGCTCTTTATTGATAACTGTGTAGGAGAAGCAAAGGAGTTGATTGCATTTTATCAATTTTTCCACAACTGGAAAAAGACAAAAGACCAAAATGCTATAACAACATTTAAACTTTAAAAAATCTCATCTTTTGCTCCTGAGTTAAAAATCAATCACATCTGTTCAACTCGACTGCAGTGGATTGATTAGAAAACAGTATCTGTAAAAGTAATTTGTATTGAAAGTAATATACTGATGATCAAGTCTCACTTCCCTTCCAAAGATGTCAATCACAGGCAATCTATTACCGAGTCAACCTCATTCATATTGTCAATTTATTTCACATGAATTACATTTTTTGTTCATTTTACTTCTACCCCAACTGCCTGTTTAATTAATTGAATGCTCCGTTTTTTAACACTTTTGGGAAGCATGTTTCATGATTTTTGTGTAGATGAAATTGTTGAATGAATGATTAAATTGACTGTGGCAAGGGTTTACAACTTGCTTTATTTTTATTCTCAAAGTATAATAATTATGTTAGGTGCACAGCATTTCTGACAAACTAATAGCAGGTTCATAATTGGAACCTGTCACATTAATTTTAATGGTGGATGACCTTAAACTATGCAGTAATTGCAAGGTAGCATTAAAGGAAATGCAAACCCTTCCTGAGATTGTTGCAGGAGCATTTTTTTACCAATTGGACCATTTTATATGTTATCAATGATAGCAATATGTAACTGGCTTCATAATACTGCTCCCTCCCATTGAAAATTCCATAGCGACATAAACTTGAGAGTATGGGAAATAACATTCCCAATAATACTCCCTACATTAACACTGTCTGCTGTGTATTGCATTGCATACAATAATACTAGCTTCAAACACAGCACTAACACTAACCATATTCTTTTGCACTCACTTGAGCAAAATTGATTGTATTAACACTCATTGCAGTTGACTGTCAGCAATATAGTGAACTATTTATATCACTGGCTACAGTAATCCTTCCCACACTGTCTTAAACTTCCTACTACTATAGATATTAGGATTTTTTGGCAGTGTGATATGTTTTGGGCAATCTATACTATTGCAGCATAGGTTGCCCATGATGTATCACACTGCGAAAACAAACTGATATCTATAATTGTACTGTTTGCGTTAAGACTCCCTATACAGCACTACACTGCCAACCCTATACTATCTATATTAGCACCGCCCAGTGAACACTATTCCATGTACGCCCTAGACCAACATTGGCTGCATTAGCACTGGTTTACCTAAGAATGCTGAGAATGTGTTACCCTGCCAAGACTAACACTATTCACATTAACACGTGCTATTTTAACACTATATACATTGTGTTAGAGTATACTACATGACTAGCAATAACACAATCTAAACAACATTTTCATTGGATTATAGGTAATTTAAAAGACCCAAATTATATTAACACTGTTTACTATAAACACTATTTTGGGTAACTTTTAAGATTTAAATTATCCATGCGATCTTCTGTCTCAAGAAATTTGACAAAACATTATCCTTTAACAAAAACAGAAGTCGCTGGGAACACTCAGCAGGTCAGGCAGCATCTATAGAGAAAGGAAAGTGAGTCAAGGTTTCAGGTCCATGACTCTTCGTCAGAACTGACGAAGGGAGCTGAAGAAGATTCTCAGTGACTTCTGTTTTTGCTTTAGATTTCCTGCTTCTGCAGTATTTTACATTTTGATTATCTTTTAACAGTCAGTTCTTATTTTACGATAGGTTGTTCTATTAAATTAACAGAATTAATTAATCTATTAACAGAACAAATTGTTTGCTGTTAAGTATCATGTTAGCATTGTAGATTTTAAATTAATTGTGATACTGACAAAGTCACTGAATAATTAAAGCCTCATACAATATCATTGAAGTGCTGAGATGGAGTCAAAATATTGTTGTTCAAATCATTTGATGACTGATCTGAAAAGTTGTTGCCTGTTATTCTTCATTGCATCTTGTTTACTTATCATTTATCCTGCATTTCAAAACATTAATTTGACAAATCTTAAAGTTTAACACATGGATTGTTGAGAATGAGAAGCATTGGTTCAATGCATACTATTCACATCTTCTAAGAAAAATACTCAGAGTACAATTTGAAAACTGGAAATAAAGATTTTCATCTGCAACATTTGGAGAAAAACATGGATTTTCCACTATATGTCAAGCCAATACAGATGCAACAATCATTAGCAATCTTATCTGTTAGATCTCATTTTGCTATCAGAACCTCTTTTAAGGGGAAACAGCCCAAAGAGCTAGCAGTAACATTGACAGCACTTTGTTCTTTTCTGTGTCTTTACTTGTTGCTTGAACAGTGAGTGTACAAAATTGCCTGAGTTTTGTCAGATCTCATCTGAGTCAATAAGTGATCTGCTGCCTTGTCATGACAAGACTGGGAAGTGGAGAAAGCGAGCGTACATGTCCTACACAGCGAAACAACAGCTAGATAGCTCATTGCACGCAACAACAACAACAGATTGCATTTATATAGCACCTCTCACGTTGGGAGGACATCCCAAGGATAGGCACAAGAACATAAAAAAGCCTATGATGAAGAAAGAACCTTCACCCCCATTAAACCTTGTTGCAACACAGTTCACATGAAACGTGCCCAATATATCCATCTTCCCCATTCACTCTAGCCCAATATATGCATCTCTAGGGGGAGTGGGGGATAAAACTTCCACATACAGATTCCCCTGAATCCCCAAAGACAATCAAGTAAAAAAAATCCATATGTTTTCATCCCTGCATCTCCATAAATATATTGTTTACATTATATAAATGTAAATTGTTGTTGTCTAATTTATAATATTGAAATACCTCATTTTAGAAGATATATAGTCACTTTAAACTTTGTGAAGAGAGAGGGAAAAAATCATTAGATTGCTACTGCCTAAACCAGAAACCAATAAGCGGGACAGGATGGACAATCTTAGTGCTATATAGTTAGAGAAATCAAAGGAACGTTTCATAGTCCAGTGCCCTGTGAAACTTGAACCAATGTTAATTTGTGACGAGTGTAGAAAAGTACTGATTTATGGAGTACAAGCAGAAAGTTTATATTGGCACTTTATTCGCAACTAAGCATGGTGCATTAGATCAAATCAATTCAGGGTCCCTCATAGTTGAAAAATACAAAGGCCCCTTTATGCTTTATGGTTTCCTGAAATTTGTTGATTTATTGAATATAATTGGGTTCTCAATAAGGATAATCCACTAAGGGATTAGAAAGTGCTGCAGCAAACATTTCAGTTACTTCTTAACAAATACTAACCACTGAGAACATTTTTTTTCAGCCGCAATAAATGATGAGGTAGCAAAAAATCATTTGAAGTCTTGCAGAGACTTTTTGTATGCGTGCCAAAAAGCGAAGTCAAAAATTTTATCTATCCACAATCTGAACGCTATCCAAATGTTTACCAAACTCTTTTGAAAAATGGATGTTAATTAGTTGGCAGTTTGCGTTTGCACACTGAGTTTTGCATATTTCCCCAAGGATATCCATATAAAAGTGTTACATTCCTCAAGATCACTATGTGATTGAGGAATGGTATTGACATTTCCAGTCAATTAAATTAAGATTTCAAGATTTGATTGCATGAAAACAAAGCAAGCGTAACAGGTAGAAATAAACATGAGCATTTCCACTGGGGTAAAATTCTACCTGGATCTGGATTTACTCTATTAATGTAGCATTTCATCACATCCAGGATTTAGCAAGTTGTTGAATTCATTATCAACTCTAAAGCCATTTTTATTGTAGTTCTTAAAAGAGGTTATAGACAACCTATTTCAAAATTCAGGCTATATTTACATTTTGCTATATTTATCAAATTATGTACACTCTGAAATGCTCCGTTAATAGAGTAAATCTAGATGCAGGAAGAATTTTATCCCTTTTTTAAGTTAGATTCTCCTCTCTTTTGTTAACCTTAGGTGGAACGGCAACTGCTAGATGTTGCTTGCACCGTCCTCAGTTTCTCTCACTCCCATTGACAATTGAACTTGCTGTAATGAGAATAATAAATGTGAACAAATGGATTTGTAGCTCCAGTGAGATGCACCACCAGGCTAACTTCATTCAATAAATCATTTTTCGGTAGACCTTGGTTTCTAAACTATGATATTTACAAACAGAAGATGAGTCACTGGTTGTGAATGTCAGTTTGAGATATGTTGCAAAAATTCCAAATGAAGCCATTAGAGAAATAAAATATAATCCCAGTACCAAAGTGATCAACTCTATCATTGCAACTCAATTGACATTTTTTTTCTGATCACATGTTATCTATTTTCTTTGAATAGGGGATTTGTTTCATTTGAAAATAAAACGTATATATTGGAGCCTATTGAAGGTGCTCTCGACAACACACACTTGATCTACAGAGCAGAGAATCTTCAGATCACTGGAGGAAATTGTGGACATAGCTTCAGGATGTCAGACAATGCAATGGACAGCATTGTTGAATCATTGCAAAACTCTTCTACAAGGGTAGGTTAAACTATTTATTCAAGGGAATAAAATATGACTTACAATGTGTGGTCAAGTAGCAATGATGTTTTAAGAAGCTTTCCATAAAGAACTTCCTAATGTAATTATATCACAATAAGTCACCTCTGTGACACATTTCCAGCAGGTTTAATTTATATGGCTGTTTATCCTGGCAGTTTGCCTTAGCAATGGTACATCTTGCTTTATGGGAAACTTAGACTGAACATAGAGGAGTGGAGTTGGAAATCTTTCTTCAATAGTCAGCAATTTTTTTCAAAGGGAGATTTTTTAAAAAAACACAACCGATCTGGTAACTCTTCTTCCAGTTAATTAAACCCAGGCGATCATAGCAATGTGGGAATGGGCCCAGGTTTGCTGCACTTCGGGTCAGAAGACAGCAGCAGTTACTTTTTAAGATAAGGAGAACATTGTGTGCCTGGCTGTGTTGCTCAATGTCATGGGTTCATTGTTCCGCCTCAGAGGGAGAATGTTTAGATCTGCTATTCCCCACCTGCACCCCATTAATCTCGACTCTGTGGCCTGCGTCAGTTGGAGTGAGCACTGGAGGCTGACCCATGCCCTGAGATAATATGCACTCATAGGAATTCAGAATTGTCACAAAATAGAACACAGCCAAAGAACACGACGACAACAACTTGCATTTACATAGCGCCCTTCATGTGGGCTAGTGTCTTGGATTGCCCATTCCAAGGGTAATATAGGAATATTGAAAGTTTAACCCAGAAGAAGGCCACTCTGCCCATCATCATATCTGTGTTGAATGAAGTGCATTGCTATGTACTCACGGTATGAAGGAGGATGCATTTCACCACAAGATCGGCAAACACAAAGCTGCCTCTTTTCAAATAAATTTTGCTCATTCTCAGCCAAGGTCAAAAGTCGAGATTATTTAAAACTCATCAGCAAAAAGCATTGAAGACATCAGTGCTTCATCCTGACATCACACCACCTTTGAGTGTTTTGATATCATCCAACTGACTTGCTTTCATTTATTATGCTCTTTCTTATTTTCAAAAAAATAGATCAGTCGATTTTCAGAAGGATTTTAGAAATCAACTCATGATCTGTACCTTGATATTCCAGCACAAAAGAGACATATCGAAGACCACAAAGTACGTGGAACTAATTATAGTAGCAGACAATCGAGAGGTAGGACTGCTAAATACTGTACTCAATATCAAACCTTGCTTCCTCTTGGGAATTAGCTGTAATTAGCTGTATTTGTTCTGCTCACAATGCAGGTACATACTGAATAACTGGAAAGCTACTTCAGCGTAAATTAAATTGATCTCAGAAACCACAGTGCCTTCAGCATTAACTTCTTTGTGAATTATTCAACCATTTTCATAGGTGGATTTTGAAGGATGGTTTGATTTGTTCACTGTTCACATGGGTTTCGTTCTGCATAACACAGTGATTTGTGGTTGCATCTTTTTTATTTGTTTGATAGTTAGAACCCAAAATGTAACCAGCAATTATTGACATTTTATTGCATAAAAGTTTCTTAAAAATACCAGTGTCATTGTTCTTTGACTACAAACTGTATAATATAATAGAAAATGTGTGGCTTGTAGTCTGGCTTTAACAGGAAGATTTGTACTTTGGGGTTTATTGAGTAACATTAATCAATAACAGCTCTCTTCTGTACCCGTTCTTTGGTTCATTGACTGCAGCATAATGCTGTCTCCTGGTATGTTTCACTTGCTTTAGTTATAGACATAGATGTTGCACTCTGCATTTCATTTCACTCCCTCCCTCCAAGTTAGAAGAGGTAAATAGTATCTTGAATTTAACTCCTAAAAATGTATGAAGTGAGATTGACAAAACATTGATCAGGAAAACAACAGCATAACTTGGACCTCACTTTGGTAAAAAGCACTTCAGAGCAACTAAGAACTTCATTGTTGCATCTATTTAAGTTTCAGAAGCAAGGGAAGGATTTGGAAAAGACTAAACAGAGACTGATAGAGATTGGGAATTTTGTGGATAAGGTAAGCATGCAGCTGAATATTTTTAACCGAAACTTTTTTTCTCAGAGTCAAGGTGAACATTGCAGGCAATACATGAAGTATTGCTACGTGATAGAAATGTACAGTGATTTCAAAACCAATGCCTTACTTATTTGTGTCTCCCTACATTGGACTTCACCATTGTCCCATAGTCCTTTTGACAGCAATCTTTACCTCTTGCTTCTTGTTTCTGTTTATGTTTTCACTGTGATTGATGAGGCACGTGTCAGCAGAAACGGTGTTAGATTTCCGTCGATGAGGTTTAAGACGTCTTTTCTCCCCTCAGAGCACTTTGCCTCATTCCTTCAGGCACCAGTCTGAGCTGTTGGGGTTGGAGTGCTCAATGAGAGGGTTGTAACAACAGCGTGACACAGAGAATGGGAATTCTGATAGATTGTTTTCATTTTGGTGCAAAAATACCACCCAGGAGCTCTAAGAAATTTGAACTTCCAGATTGTTGTTTGATTTTGAACTGATTTTATCTTTGATATTTTAATGTGCAAGTACAGTTTGTGTGTTATGACAAATTATGAGCTTTTTTTGTGGGAATTGGCATTTCAATGGCTTCCAAGGGTATAAATGGAAGCGAACTATTCTTAGCTAAATTGTCATGATCCTTTTATTACAACAATTATTTTTTGTAGTTCTACAGACCTTTGAACATACGAGTTGCTCTGGTTGGAGTGGAAGTTTGGACCGACATGGACAAATGTTCAATAACAGGGGACCCATTCACTACGCTGAATGAGTTTCTTGACTGGAGGAAATTGAAGCTGCTCTCACGTAAACCACACGACAACGCTCAGCTAGTGAGGTAGGTAAGGATTATTTATTCTGCACCACTTGGTGCAGAATCAGGATCAAGTCTAAAGTTACGACAAGTATAATTAACTTTTCCTACGAAAGTTAGACTGCTATTTCGGCTACAGAGCTGTCAGTGATTGAATCTCAGACATTCCTTTATCCTTCCAATGTGTATGTCAAAATTCAAGGGAAATTTCAAAATTATTATTTTTATCATAAAAGTAATTGATAATTTATCTCAGCCTCCTATCTTGGTCTTTCCGACCTTGAAGCAGTCCTGCTCTGCTTTCCCTCCTCTCCATTTCCACCCCAAACTCTACATGGTAGTCTATAGTGTACAACATCAGAAAATTAATAATAATACTCAGTGACTTGGATCATGATAATGTCCTGTAACGTTAATAAAACCCAATTATGCATTTGCAGAATGGGCCAGATAGTTACTGCAAGGATTAGAAGCAGCAAAATTAAATTTGGAGGAAACTGAGGAACAGACAGAGCAGAAAGGAAAGCTGAGACTGTGGTTATAAGCAGTTCAGAATCAAAGCTCAACCCATAAGGAGAGAGGGCAAAAAGCTTTAAAGCACAGTCGGAGGGAAAACAGAGTCAGAGGAACAGAACGATAAATCTGCTAAAATGACTGAGAATAAGCGTAAAAAAGCAAACAAATATTTTGATAATGTACACAAGATCACAAGGGAGGTTCAAATGAAGAAGGCCCGTCGACCCATTTGATCTCATCCTTCCAGAATACACACCTGACTGGGCAGACGACTGTCCTGCTTGCTGATCCATATAAAATGTAATTATCTGTAAACTTCGCAGAAAATGAGCCATTATATTCTGCTTCCTCCTTTTTTAAGTGACAGTACACTATACTGATTAAATTCTTAGTGACCAAAAATACTACTCTTGCCACAGATTGAATTACTGTGCAAATGATATGTGTGTATCAAGTGTATTTGCGGGGAATATTCTTCTCTTACCGCTTTCTGATGAACAACACAAACAAACGTTGCCACCACCCGATAAAAACTTAAATAATTTGATTTATCACTCTGTGCCCTCAGTCTAATTGTTCATAATCATTGCTGCAGATTGTCTTCAGATGACTTTGAACAGCTGATGAAAGGTTATGACGGACAGTTGAAAGAAACCAGAAAAAATGTGCAAACTAAAATTAATCTACAATTTTTATTTCTATACGTATGAAAACATTATCTATGTAAGGTTGTCCAATTTTAGATTTACTGTTAGGGAAAAGATTACAAGAATTCATTTGGTTTATCTTCAGTGTTCTGGGAGTCTTTTTATTGAATGGTGGGTGGGGAAGGAATTAAATAAAGGAGGTTATTCTGTTCTGTGTAATTCATGTTACAAATGCATTGCTTGGGGTTAAACACTAATGTATCTCATTTGCTAAGTTTGACAAATTTGGTCCTGCGTGCTTATATAACTGCAATTGCAATTATATTTTAAATGTATACTTTCATGTTTATAATGCAATGTTATTCAAAAGTTAAAACTTCATTACTGTTATTTATAATTGTGCCAAATTTATGGAACAGATTAGAACAGCGTTTAACACAGAACAATGAATTTGCTAAATGGAGCAGAATAATGCTCAAAATATTTAATTTACCAGAAAAAACACTATTAACTGTGATAACAATTTATTTGTTTCGGCCAGAGTGATATAAATCAATGATTTTAGTACAAAAAGTGGCAGCCTATCGATAACATCAATTACCCTGTCCTTTCTACCAGCATGCAAAATAAATACTTTACAGCCCTCATATAATATCAAGCCTCTTCTGTTTGCCATTTGCATAATGTAGTGACACTAGCACGAACGACAATAATTTAAGATTTTTTTTTGCACCACTCAGTATTCATTTGTTTTCTAATGGGTTCGAAAGGCCAATGCCTTATCAGATGAGGTAGATATTTAAATAGATTGAACTGATCCATGCTGATAGACCCTATTTTTAGGTTTAATTTATGTAGTATCCCATGCAGAACTGCACTTTAGCTTATCAGAGTAGTAATTTCATATTTGAGGAGCAGAAGGAGGTAATTAAGTTTATCACAGAGTGAATTGTTTTATAATAGCTGGACTTGCAGAATGTTTTAGTGCAATGTTTTCAATTTGCAAAGATCAACAGCATGAGGTATATAATTAGTGCACTGTGGCCACGAATAATGGTGTCTTTATTTACTTTGATTTATTGGTTGACTGACATGTTATTTGTCCTTTGGTGTTCGACCGCCAATGGCAACATTATTGCACAGAAATTTCACAGTCACATTTTATAACATTACGAGGGTGAGTTATCTCTGAATCATTTCAAATGGTGACAGGGCGAGTAGCAGTTTCACTGAGATGTGTATCGAAGTTTCTGGATACAGATCTACAGCCAAAACTTGCCATAAGACAAATTTATGATCCTTGCAATACCACTTGAAGAGTCTGAACACTTCAATACAGGGAGAGAGGAGACCTTGAGGGGTAGGTCGCTCATAATGCAGTCAATAATTTTCTCCCCGTTTCCTAGCCGAGAATCCTCCAGATGAAATTCGGCAGGAACGTCATGGCTGTTTGTGGGACATCACTTACAACATACAGAGTCATCACACTTTCCAATAAATCCTGTGAAGACCTCCGAGACAGTTTGATAAAGTGACAAGCGAGGCACTGCATGAAATGCAAGGATTATTATTTTGAAATAAAGGAGCACTAAGCAAATTATTTGACTAAGAAAACATGACTCGGTCTGTTGTTATGTATTCCAGTGGCGTGTACTTCCAGGGAACGACCATTGGCATGGCACCTATAATGAGCATGTGCACAGCAGAGCAGTCAGGAGGGATTGTTATGGTGAGTAGTGATCATAGAAAGAATGAATGATCTGAACTTGAATCTGCCCATCCCTTAAATGTTCATCTGACTTGAAACTGACAGAAATAGAAACTGACTACATGGCTCAATAAATCCTTCCATCTCCGGAACCTGAGTCTGAATGTTTCTGATGAAGAGTGAAAGACTCCATTCTTTGCTAATTGTAAATGGCCAACATGAAGTCTCCACTCAGTTCCTCGTTGATTTGAAACCAGCGCAAAACAACCCAAAATGTTATACTTATTGGCTGTATCATTGATAGAGAACACAAGGAATGCCTTGTGTTGGAATTGGAAGAAGTAGGCAGGTGAACGTTTGAGACTGTGGTTAAGGAATTTGAAGGGACTTTTACTCTATACCTGGTACCTGCCTTATTTAACCTAAGAATAGTTGTTATTAACAATAAGAATTGGGAATTGGGGACTGGGAATTGGAGGAGTGCCATCCCATTTTGGTCCCTCCATTTCCCTTAATGGGCCCAAATATTCATCCAAAAGAACTTTCAGAATCCCAACTTTAACAAAAAGCGAAACTCTGTCCTCTTTGCAAAGTTGTATGCAGTAGTTTTATACGTTACTTAATTTTCCTCAATCTAACTCTGCATTCACCCTTAAAATATAGTCACTGCACTTTACAGTATATCCTGTGAAGCACTTTGAGATGTCTTCACATTAGGAAGGTGTATATACCCGTTCCAATATCTTATCCTTATCTAGATGAATTTGTCATTGACGAGGATGCAAATGACTATTGTAATATAATATAAATAGTTGACTGTCATCAATGTCACTATTGTGGAGTCCTGTAGCTCAGTGGTTAGAGCACTCGCCTTGCAAGCGAGACACTTGGGTTCAATTCCAGGCAGGGCGAAACCTTGGGCAAGTTTCCTTACTCCACACACCTAATAATAATCCCTCCAAAAAAACAAAAAACAATAATACATTGGTCATTTTTTAATCCACGACTGTTTGTGGGACACTGCTGTGCGCAATTAGCTGCCGCGTTTCGCCCACAAATATATGGTCAACTCACTTTACAGTCTATTCTGTGAAGCGCTTTGAGACGTCGAGAAGACGTGAAAGAACGTGAAAAGCGCTATATCAAATGCAAAGATTATTATTATATAAATGCAAGGATTATTATTATTGTTATTTACTTTGTTCTGGGGAAATATTGATCGTCACCTCAAGGAAGCCCTATTTCTTCTTGAGAAGAATACTCTATTTGCTCTTCTTGACATTCTTGTGACTTGGGACTCCTTTTGCTACAAAATGTTTAAACTCCTCACTTGCAAAGTACTGCCCTAAGATCTGCTGGATTAGTACTTTCTAACACAAATGAATTCTACCTTTTGCCTTCTCTTTCTTAGCCTTACATTTTTGCAATCACATCTAGCATAATTCTACAAGACCACTTGATATCTTGGATTGTGGAAAATGGGATATCATTCTGGCTACACTGTTTTCTATGTATTAATATATTTCCTTTGCTTATTTAAGAAGTCAAATTAAAACATTTTAAAGGCTTGAATCAGGTTATCTTTTTCATGCTCTCTCCCTTCAAACGTTTCAATGCAAAAACCTATATTTTTTTCTGGGCTTCAGCCAGGTGTTCAGCTTTGACAGCAGAATCGTAAATTGTACAGTAATAATAATTACAATAATTGTTTAATTTGCATATAAATCAGCTAAATCCACAGAGCTTCATGTTGAATTAAAGCATAGAATTCAGGTGAAGTTTTTGCACTGCACAAGCTAAACAATGTGCAGTTTTACTTTAATCTGCTAAATGAGTCTCAAAAATTCAGCACCAATTTATCAGCAAGGCTAAATCAGAGTTAAAGATATATTTTGTGTCCCTATCACTTATCTGACCTCAGCCATACCAGCAGATGAACACAATAAAACTGGAGTGTGTTTGAACGCTGCTGCAAATGAAGGGGTTCACATGACGTCATAAACTGAGAATGAAGTTCAAATGGTTTGCGAGCATCTAGTTAGCGAACAATGAAAACATATTGCAACTTGTAACTCAACTGTTGTTTGCATATCACGTAGTCCTACCTACGAGATCACTGTGAATATGGAGTTTATACTGGGGTATATTCTGCAGTTCGTAAATTTAGAAATTCATTATGTATCAATTAGGAAAGTATCCACATGTCCAGCACCCCCAAAAACTAACTCTTCCCCCACCAACATATAAATAAATATGTAAATAATCCTTGCATTTTGATATAGCGCCTTATCATGTGTTTCACAGAATATATTTTAGAGTGGATCGACTGGTATTTTGTGGGCAAAACATATCTATATATATATGAACATTTGACATATGTATCTGTATGTCTGAACATTTGATTGGCAGTTTATCGTAGAGTGGCTTTTACTGATATCAGAGCAGGTCCCCATTCCAACTAACCTCTTGAGAACAATGTGAGAGAAGAGTGAAATGTGGCTTGGGTACATCTGTAACTGATGCAGTACAAATTTCTAAAATGTCATCAGCATATTGGACAACACTGCCTTTAAACATCCACGGTGACAGTTGTCTGAAGGTGACAGCAATCGACTGTTTCACGTGACAGACTAAGCACATCAGCAGTAATGAGAAAAGAGTTCAGTTTTATTATATTTCAGTCTTGCAATATCCAATAGAAATTGCAAGCGCAGCAAAAGCTGTTTGTTCCCATGCAAGTACCTAGGGCATTGTTTGCAAGTGAACAACACTATTATTTCATTGGCCCTTAACCAAGAATTTTTATGTACAACCCAGTGCTTTCCAGTAAATGGCAAATACACTTTTGCTCCAAGCTCCTACTTGATGCTTTGTTTTTGTTGCTGCCAGAATGTTGTTTCCCTGACAACAATCGTAGCATGCCACACAAAAAATATAGGACCCAAATATGCAGTGTCCTCTCTCTCAGGAAATGAGCACGAGACCTAAGCTGATTAGTTTTATTGCGGAGGAAGAAGTCAAGAGAAAACTGCCTGAGAACTGAGATAAACACCTCAGTTTGGCATAAGATATTGGAATTTTCTTTTTCATTTTATCATTTGAAAAATTGCAACAAAGAAATAATCCAAATTGGTTGGGAAGATATAAATTCAATTCTAAACTTGAAATCTGCCATGTTAATATTGGAATGAAAAAAGTCCATGTTAGTATAAAATAATCCAAATGACCTACATAGGGGGTTGTCAGTTGGAGAAGTCTCTGACCCACATACACTTTGTTCCCTGTCTTCCATTGTTTCATTCTATTTCTCTTGTCAGCTCCCTCCACATGCGTTTCTTAGAAAAATGTGCATTTATGTGGTGCAACAAGGAATGTGTCCAAACTAAACCCATCCAAAATGTGGTCAGAGTGTCTCCAGAGATTAAACAGTGTCTGAAATATCCTTCTAGGTACTTGAAATACAAACTAGTCTGTGCCAGCAAGGGTGTTCGAAGGAGAGCCTTGAGCCTCACTGCATGCATTTTATTTTGAAGTTATTAACATTTGTAAAGAAAAAGTGCATGTTCCCCAGTTCACATTACTTATAGTAGATTTTTAAAAGATAAAATCTGTTGCAGAGGTTCTTTTAATGAGATAATTAAACAATGCTTATAATGACTAATTTATTGCCAATCATCATTATGAAATGTTGCAAATTTCACTCCATTGCTGCTTTATTTTCATACCGGTGACCAACAGAGGCCAAAGCGAGACCCATGGTCATTGCTTGATCTGAATTCAAAATAAGTTGCGCACTCATGTATCTTGACCTTTCTTGCTCCTGGTCCACATTTAATGAACTGGAAGCAATGTTAGAATTTCTCCCAGGAGCTCCTTCCAATAAAAAAATACAGTATTTATGTACTGTGATTCCCCATTGCATACAGCACATAACTTACGGGTCCTCTTATCTGTTTAAACAATAGTTTCGGCAGGGGGATTTTAAAGGCAGACTTTGTTTAACTGTATTACCTCAGTCTGAAAGATTGGAACCACATGTGACACATAACTATTAGCAAAAAGGTCACAGCAGGAACATGAACTAAAATATACAACTAAAGAACAATAAAGTTGTAAAAAATCTTCTGAATTATGCAAGTTAGTTTAAATTGTATTTTCCAAAATAAACTGACTGCCCACCACATGGCACAATCGCTCCTTGTGTAAAGTTCCCTGCTCAGCAAACAACAACAACAAAAACAAAATTACATTTGTAATTTCACGACGGGAAGACATCCCAAAGCGCGAAAGTGCAACATCCACAGGAAACTGATAACATAACGTAATCTTTTCCTGACCAGATAACAATACAGATCAGATGAGTAAAGCATTCTTCCCGATATCTGTTGAGTCTGGCACCTTGCATCATAATCTATGATTTCAAAAGGTTTGTTGATCGTCCTTTTGTTCCATTCCTTCTTCCTAATCATGTATCACGTGCACCAGGAAAGTATTGAAGTTGTTAATTATCAAATGCTTAAGGAGAGATTCTTAGTGAAGTTTGAACTGTGCACCACACATAGTCAACAAATCGCTCAAATAATCACTCCACGGCTGTTTGTGGGACAATGCTGTGTGCAAAACGGCTGTGCATTTTGCCCACAAATACACAGTTAATCCACTTTACGGTATATGCTGTGAAGCACTTTGAGACGTCTTGGCGACGTGATGAGGAGCTGTATCAAATGCAATGATTATTATTATCTTATGATTACAAGTGCCTAAGGATTGGTATGATGCATATACGATCAACGGCAGTATTCAATATTTAGGAACTTTTAAGATCCTGCGGGGAATATCACACTTTTTGCCAAATATAATTCTAATCCAAGCAAAAAGGCTCCAATGCATCATTTACTGCCATTATGTGGAAATCCTGATTCAGTCCGTTCAGAATTCAACTGTTTTCGTGTTTAAAATGGTATAGACCTTTTTCATGAATGCCTTGCACATTTTCCCTTAATTCGAGTATTTGGAGTGTCTGGGGCCCAAATATTTGTAAACAGCCGAGAGAAATTACCCATTTCTAGAAAACAGATTATTTTTAGTTGGCAAGAAGCTATAAACCTAGCCTATTGAATACTATCAAACTAGTTGTATGGCAGTAAAAGGAGATTCTACAAAATCGACAGCCATTTGTTCACAGTACAGTGCCAAAGTCATCTTATCCAGCAATGGATTTGTTGAAAACCTAAGACTGTAACTGTAAACTAGTAACTTGTTCAAAACATTCCTTTGAACCAACAGTTTTGCCCCATGGAAATAGGAAATCGATATGGGTCAAAATGACTGTTTCACCTAACATAAGTTAATCCTCCCCCACCATCCCTCTAACAGTCTAGCATTTTGGACTGTTATCCCAGTCAACTTTTTTTTATGTCTTTGTTTTTTGGATCAGCTCAGAGGATATGTTGCATTTCTGATAACTACAATAACAACAAGATTTCATTTATAGAGCTCCTTTCACGTCAGGAGGACGTTCCAAGGCGCTGGACAGTTGGGTCGGGACCCGAGCAGGGGGGAAATGGTCAGGGTGAGGGGAGGGAGCGAGGAGGGGGTAGAGAGTCGAGAAGGGAGCTGAAAGCAAAGTAATTACTGGTTATTCCCTAACTCTATCTGATGGTCACTCCTCCCTAGGATCATTCAGACAATCCTTTGGGAGCCGCAGTAACGATGGCACACGAACTGGGACACAATTTCGGAATGAACCACGACACCCCTGCCCGTGGCTGTGCCTGCAAGGCGTCGTCTGACAAGGGAGGCTGCATCATGACCCCATCCACAGGGTAAGTAAGCAGGATGAAGGAGAAAGAGCAGATTTACGCGTTAAATGTGTTTGTGCATTGTCTTTCTTATCAATGAAAATTGACCAACACAATATAAACACAAAGGTACTTCTTATGCCATTATACTGAATTCAGAATACAGTACATTTCATTGCAGAGGTCATTCTTTCAAGAAGCGTTACCTTCTGGAAACACATGAGTTTGCAGTGATAAAATTAACAGACATATCACTAGAAGGCAATTGTTTAACCTGGTTTCCTGTTATGTCTGAATTGTAATAAATGCATATTTATAGAATGAAAATAGATGTAATATAATATACTTCACGTGTACATATTTTACATTGTAATGCATGTCCCTTCTGCCGTGGAAATCTTGCCCAATATTATAACTTGACTGCTCACAATGGTGGAAAGTTTTGATGTAATGTTAAAAGTTGATCCAATGCAAACGTACAGAAAATACGTTGTGGAGAAGCATTTCCTTGTACCTGCAGTGCCATCAGAAGCAGATAATGTCACCTGTCCCATATATGTCTGTCACTCCTGTGGTGATAATCTAACCACATTCCCCTTTGTGACTGTCACTAACTCCAGGCCTGACCAGAAGAATAATGTTCCCTTTTAAATGTTCATTCTTGGTTCCTTAAGTTTGGAGACATTGCTCCTTCGTGATTTTTATTTGTTTGCCTAGAAATACACAGTTGCAACACTTCTCTTTAAAATGCTTTTGGTTTATTTCAAGCCCTTCAAACGTTTCACTTGATTTCTCTCTTCCTTCCAATAATTTTCACCCTGCAATTTGAAAGCTTGAAATTTTGGATAGTGTGTTGAATTCTTTCTTGGAATATGTGTCTAATATTCTGCCCTGTTCACATGCACCATCAAACATTTTGGTTAATGTGAGGGAATACAAATGTTTCAGGCTATCGTCAGCAGAGGTAAGAGAGCAGAGTATCAGACCCATGATGTAGTAATGTGACAGTGCATGTTATGGAATCAAACACGCACTGTTCACTATCACTAGCAAGCATTTTGTACCATTATACTGGGTAAGCACTGAATGGAACATTCCCTAGGGTTAGCAAACACATGTTGAAACCCTACTGTGCACCAAAAACTGGAAACATTTTGCATTCCCATCACTGACATCCTTCACCTTGGCAAGCTGAGAAAAACAAAAAAAGAAAAGAAAATACAAATGGAAGTGAAAATTAAGGGTGAAAAGCACAGCTTGCTTCCCATTGAATTTAATTTTGAATTCCAGTCATAAGAAGCCCAAACCTCCACATTACTACAGCCTGTAAGACCATTTCGTTTTGAAATCGAAGATCCCGAGGAATTGTGAAATTTACTCTGGAATTGCTTTAGAAGACGCTTCTTTTTAAGAACTTTGGAAAAGCAGCTGTCAAGGCTGAACATATGAGATTCCCACAGTTCTAGCCAAAATAGGCTTGCAGGCTAAGATCAAGTGGAATTTTGGAGCTAAAATGTCACTTTTTGCATGTTGGTGGCATAATGATTTCATAAATAATAATAATAATCCTTGCATTTGATGAAGCGCCTTATCACATCTTCGAGACATCCCAAAGCGGTTCACAGAATATACTGTAAAGTGAATTGACTGTATATTTTGTGGTTGAACAGACTGTGTATTTCATCAGCTAACTGGCATGTTTCTGAGAGCAAGGATTGTTGCCAACAGTGTCAGTTCAAGCTTGGTATTAAACCTCAGATCACTAACCCAGACCAACATTCAAACATAACGTCTCAGCATGTTGATGTCGCAAACGTTGAAAATACCAAATGGAATTAATTAGACACTGTTTTTCTGCGATGGCCAAAGCATCAACTTCCACTTTTTTATTTCCGCAGTTTAAATAAAGAAAAGCTTAGTCAGTATGGTGAAATATTTGAGGAATAAAAATTGTCTCCTGTTTATACTTTCGGAGACTGTCGTGCTGAGTTTGAAAGCGTGCTTATGAGGAAAGTAAGCATTAAGAAAACGACCGAGCTTTAACTGGCCCCTGATATATTGCTTGTGACAAGGGCCGTATGGATTTGCCAACAGTCGAGAACTTGATGTGAAATACAAGTAGAAATATCAGTTTTACCCAAGAGGCTTCCTGCTGTAATAAGTGCCTGTGGGTCTTTATTACTTTTCAGTAGTTAACTGCCCCAAGTACTAACATTTCAGCATGTCACAATATTTTAACCTCAGTTTATACTGTATAAAGGATTAGTCTGTTGGAGACGCTGTGCCAAGACCTGCTTTTGGCGCACATCACCTAATAATATTAAGCATAATGTCTGGGTAAACAAATCTGCGGACAGGAGTCTGGAAAATGGGATCTAGCATAAAGTAATATTTTACATAGAGTATTAACCTGGTGCAATTACACTTTTTATAGTTACAGCAAAAGCTAATAACTCGTGGGATTAATCTACATGGACTTTCTGACCCAGTTAACATTAGCTGAATTGAAATAAGAATCAAACCGAGTTTGGTGAAGAAATTTGTTTCCACTGGATTACTGTAACATTGGCTGTTTTGCTATGATAACAGCTGGTTTCCCATTCTGCTGAGGAAATATGTAACCTCCACCTTGACCCATCGTTGATGAACCAAACTGCGACCAGGAACTCCTGTGAAGAATAGCAGCTAAACTCCATGTCCTTGTCCTTGTCAAACTGTGGGTCAACTCATAGGAATATTTTTCATCTCTAATGGGGGAGAGGGAGAGCAGGAACTTTTCTCCATGTTACAAATCATCATCTAATGGTGTGTGAAACCACAATATGATCTCAATGAGAGGCACATGTCAGGGATAACTTCATCAAGGCCCAAACCATTTGTGTGTAATTGTGCTTCCACAGAGAAGCAAGGGGAAGGCCCATAAACACAGTGGCCACTAGCCATCTGTAGATACAGAACATTACTAGGTCTTATGCCATTTCCCTGTCAGGTTTATAGGGTAATAATATCACATGTGGCCTTGGTCTTAGATCAATAACAAAATTAATAGGAAGCACATTAGTGCAATAAAGATAGACAGAATTAGAATTGCAAACTGGTATAAATGGCCCTTAATGTCTTCTTGAAAAGCAAGGTCAATGGACAATGTTTTAAAACATTCAAAAGGGTGGAATCTTGGAACTCTCCTGCTATAAAAGCTTGGCTTGTTCGTGGTGTTCTCCATTTATCAGCTGTGGAGGATGTAATGTTTCTGTTTACCAAATTTAAATGCAGCCAATCTATCTTGGCGTTTTATCAATGGCTTTGCTTCAGACTCATAAAATTATTCGCCTACACGCAAATGCGCTCCAACATCAATGTGGGCTGCATTAACTCTTCCCTTTAGCAAGGCAGTCTTTCTGAAATTGTCAGCAGCCGGAATGGTGTCAAGTTCAAAAGCAATAGCTTCATATCTTTCAGCTGTGTGTTTTTGTAGTTTAATTTATTAGTGGAACTGTAGCGCATGAAGAAATAGGAGAAGGCAGATGAGTCAACAACCTATAGGTTGGACATGATTACAGCTACTTTACTTGGCTGTCTGATTTCCTCCAGGAAAAAAACTGCTGTCTGAGTGAAATTTCCAGTGTGGTCTGGAGACAGGCCCCTTCAGAATAAGGCTAGCAGACTGTCAGCTTTGATAAATTAGTTCTCAGAGTTCACTTTATGCTTAGGCCACAACATCAAAGCTTTTCTGCTTCATTTGAGAATTTAATATTTTTTTTGGAGGATGTGGGGGGTAGGGGGTGACTACATGAGATCTGTGTCAAATGTTTTGCAATTCACACCAACACTAAATCTTTATTAGCCTATGCTCTCCTTGTCACTAATCTTGTGAGCATTTCACAAAATCATAAGAATTTGTTTTCAAGCAAAGTATTTTCGCACAGTCATTTGGAAACATAGTGGAAACCTGACATTATACAGCAATGTTTAAATGTAGTTTGGGCAGTGAGGGTGGAATGCGACCCCCATTCTAAGTCAGTGGGGAACCCACATATCCCTCTCCCCCACTCCACACACACACACTGAGTGTAAGATGTAATAAACTTTCTTTATTTGTAAGTTTCTCATACTAGGTCTCCTGGGAATTCCCTTTCAAAAATATTGTATTTTATTGCTGGATTTCCTTATGAAACTGGTTTGTTTGGCCAAGAGAATTGGATGGTTTGGGATTCAAAGTACTCCACAACCATTATCGGGGTCAATGGTCCAATGACTGACCTAATATAAATCGCCTTTGTGCTCTCAACCGCAGTGCCAAAGAACAATGGAGCATGACCCCGAGTCCTCTCTCCCTTTGAGTTGGCACTTCCCCATCAAGAGTTGTAAATTTGTTTGGCAATACACCACTTTTTACATTGTTTTTGTTAACTGGATTTAAAGTGACATTGATAGAGACCGTGGGGCAAGGCCATAGAAGAGAAAGAAGTGATAGTAACCTAAACAAAACAAAAAACATAGAGATGATTTAAAACAATTAGAGTTAAAGCTGAAATATAATACATTAGGATAGGTTTTTGATAGGAATGGATTACCCTTGCTGGATACGTATAAATCATCCTCTTTTTCAGTTATTCCTATTAGGTAAACATTGTCCGAAATATGGAATCTAGTCTGATTGACAGTTACTGATTGTGTAAGTGCACCAAAATGAAAGGTATTAACTCATCTGTAATAGAAGGATTGCAATGGAAGACAAGCAGGTCTAAAATTGATCTTCTGCACTCTATGACTTAATCCATTGTAGCAAAATCTATTCAATCAAGTTCGCAATCCTTCATCATTATCTCTACTGGCCACTGAGGTCACTCGGTTAATTAAAGGAGAGCAGCATGAAAATGTGCACCGCAAACTTTCTTCCATGTGTTTGCAAACACACAAAGCACTGATGTGGGTTCCAAACATGATCGTGGCAGAAATCACACACAGCTTCTCTCTATCCTCATTCCCAAACAAAGATACACCAAACCTGTTTTCGGAGAAACAGGCCTGAGCTTCCTGAAATCCCATGTAAATAGTCTGGTTTTGTTTCAACCCAATAGCGAATATTAATGGCGCATAAAAGGATCTTGCTGTGTGCAGCATTTCCAATTCTGTACACAGCAAGATCCTTTTATGTGCCATTAATATTTCACGTATGTAGTGGCCCTCTCTGATTTGGTAAGCGAGCACCACATGTTGGCAGAAATTCGACTGCTGTCTGAAGTGGATCCAGCCGAAGATTTGGGTGCTGATGATTGGCAACTTCAGAAATTGTGTCCTGTTCTTTTGTGGAATATTCAACAACTACAACAACAGCAGGGGCAGGATTTTAATCTGCCACTAAACTGATGACTTGGACATCTATTAAGATTACTTCTCAATGACATTGCAGATTTATAAAAAAAAATCTGTGAAATCTTCATACACAGTGAATAGCTTCTGCAATACAGTGTTCATGAGGAAAGTTGGCAATAGTGAGTGGAGCTCAATGTCAACGCCACATGTTAGTGAGTGGAACACCTTACTCAGCACTAACTCCATTTCGCTACCATGTAAGTCCAGTTCTAAGCATTTTTTCCTTCTGTTCCACTGCATATAAAACTATTCCAAACATGGATTTTTTTTTGATTGAACTTATCCTTAAAATCTGTGACCTACAGAGAAAGGATTTTAAAAGTAATTTACAATCAGGAGAGGATTGTATTGGATTTTTTTTTATAGGTTTGGAACTGGACTGTGTTCAATGCTATACTGGCAGTTTATCTGCCACAAGATAATGAGATTTTTCTGAAAAATGCTTAAGACTTACAAACCAGGCATCTGAATTTTCTTACTTTCTTAGGCTTAACACCTTTGTTTTAAAAATGCAACCGTGCAGAACATGGAAAAACAGTCTTAACTTGAGTTTTAATTTGGCAGCTAATTTTAAGCAGTCATTTTATCCCCCAGTGCCTTCGCCTTGCCTCCTCTCTTTCCTCCTTCAAGGCCGGTCTCAAGACCTTTCTCTTTGACTGTGCCTTCAGCTCCCCTCTCGACTCTCTACCCCTCCTCGCTCCCTCCCTTCCCTCCCCTTGACCATTTTCCCCCTGCTCGGGTCCTGACCCAACTGTACAGCGCCTTGGGATGTCCTCCCGATGTGAAAGGCGCTCTATAAATGGAATCTTGTTGTTGTTGTTGTTGCTGTTAAGCAGTCATTTTTAGGTACTGCACAAAATCAGTTTTCAAATTAAGACTGAATTTAATTTTTTTTCAAAAAGTTTTCACAATTTTAACTTTAAGCTTAAGAAATCAGGATATTCAGATCTCAGCTGTGGTGTATTAATATAGATTTACTTTGTGATCCAGAGAAAATGATGAGTTGAACTTGTACTCAAGATATCCAAGGGATGAAATTTGCTTCTCGGTCCAGATAGAGACTTCACTGACATACATTTATAAGAGTGAAATTCCAGCACAACTGGATGTGGCCTCGGTAACTTTGCTGGTCTGTGGAATGTGTCCTCCAGTTGTTGGGGGTGTGCGGAACAACCAAGGCAAATTAATAAAGGGCTCAGGTGTTCGTTTAAGAGCAGGTAAATGTAGAATGATTACTTCTTAATCCTTTGCCATCTATTCCTTTCGATTAAACAATCACACACGAGAGGTTGAGATAACCTTGGGACCATTTGATCTCCTCCTTTCAGATTACCCAACCTGCCATCCTCCTGTTACAGTATCAAGCTGTTTCTTAAGTAAGTCCAGTGGTCTGGCTTCAACCACCCTCCGTAGTAAATTGTAATTAATCTGTGTAATTCATAATGGTTTAGGTTCCTTTGAGCTGGAATGGGTTAAGAGGAATATAACAGATGATTCCATTTGTATTGCCAATCATGTCTTCTCTCAGGCTTTCTCTCCACAGATGGCTTTGCTGTGGTTGAAATAAATAATCCACATCTGTTGCAATGTAAAACAGATTTGTTCAAACTTTTCCACTCAAACATTTACTTCCATCTCGATAAATTATTCAGGAAAAATGTCAACTCAGTCAATTCTATTTTTCCTCGCAACGAATAAAATTATACAAATGGTGAAATATTAAAAGGTAGTTAAATTTACTTTAAATTTAGAAATGGTTCTGAAGTCATTAATGATCCACGTGAAAATGTTTGAAGTGAGTTTTTTTGTTTTTTTTTCACCCCATTTTTTCTGTCTGTGTTCCTTGACTTGACAGAAGGCTAATCTTGTGTCTTCAGCTGTAAAGACCAGTCCAGTCAGGTCATAGAACACTATATGGTACTGCTCAGTGGAACAGGAAGGTTGCTTATCACATAGAGACAGTCTCGTTTTTTATTTTTGTTTTATTGGACATTGATTGAATTTTTTCAAGAAATGAAACCAAATTGAAAGGGACAGAAACAGACACAGGGCCATATGTTATGAATGAGATAAATTCCACTCCATCTCTGTTCTAGCTTGTCTTTACATTTCAGATCTTGGATATCTTGAGTACAAGTTCAACTTCAGATTTGTGGAAAATTCTCAAGTTCAGCTTTAATTTGGAAGTTTTTTAAGAACTGCGGAAGAATGTCTTCCAAATTAAGATTGCATTGGAAGAATGTTCCACAATTCTGCATGATTTTACATTTTAAGGCAAATTGGTGTTGCAGGGCTGGCTGAGTCCAGATGGAATTTTGTGTCTCAAATTTCTTTGAGCTTCGGTTTCAGTTTCAGAATATCCACGTTATGTGGTCACAGTGTCCACCAACCAACGAGCTAGTGTTCTGATCTCACCAGGAATATGATTGTGTCTCCTCTCTAACGGCAATAGAAAATAGACTTGTATTCTCCTTTACACTCCCAGTGATCACTTACAGACACATACTCAGACTGATGAGTTCACCAGTAATGCAAGGGAAATATAATACTTGTTCACCAGACAGCTAGGGATTTTCTTCTCTCTCTACCAGACGTCCTACCCAGGTGAACTGAGGCACACAAAACAGTAGTCCATCAGTCCTTGAACACACCAGCTCCCAACATTTAAACTCAAAATCCATGAATCTTCCAACAGTTAATGGTTGCTGCTATATCTTAAGACTTGTTGATTTTATGATGCCAACCAAGAGGTTCAGGATAATTAAAAACAAATGATTGCATTGGCATCCAACACAAAGAGTTTCTGTTTGATTATTATCCACAATACCAGTGGGAATGTGATGAAAAATGCATTTTGGTATCTCTCTGAATGTGTGTACTGCAATTTATTCAACCGACTGTATAACTCAATCCCAAGATGTGCAATTCCACATTTAGATGTATTTCACACAACTTCCCTTAAGAACAAGTCAACAAGGAATATTGTCGAGAGGGTTGATTTCAATGCAAAACAATATCAGTGTAGAAACTGTGTATGAATATATAAAGTGTGGTCCTGACACTTTGGAGATCAAACATTATGCCCCAGAGCTGCCAATAGCACAATATCAACATATTTTAACAAGCTACAAATTCTTTAACAAGAAAGAGTTTGCTTAGCAACATCTACACAACTCTAAGTTGTGTGCTTCAGTTCAATCATGCTACTTATGATTTGCCTCCTGGTATTATTTCACTGACAAATATCACAAGGCATTTACTTTAGAGATGGAATGGCAGAGATTCCCAAAGGACATGCTGATCACCTTTCAGACATTCATGTGTAGCAATTACTGTCTTCAAGGCTTGGCCATCACTAAGATGCAAAGTCATTACATCAACCGCGTAACACTAACAAAACCTTTTAGTTGGCATAAGAGTATTTTTGAATACATTCAACAACTTTTAAATATTTCAGCAAACAGTAACGTTTTAGATTCATCATTTTGGTTATAAATGGTAAAAGTACTTGAGGTATTAAGATTCATATGAAATGCTTATAAATAATCTTACATTGATATTCACGGATACAAATTAGATGCAGATCTCTACAGTAAGAGGTGACATCTATGGACAATAGGGTTAACCCCAAAATATTTGGTTGCCGACCAGTCAAAAATGAGACTTTGTTTGCTTTGTACTGCGTGTCTTGTTTCCAACCTGGGAAAGATAATACTGAAAAAGAAAACATTGGCACAGGAGTTGCTTAATCGAGTTGCACCACAACGTCAAACATTTGTGTCTTTGTTTTTAGGTATCCATTTCCTACAGTATTCAGCAGTTGCAGCAAAAAGGATCTGGACAGTAGCCTGGAGAAGGGAGTAGGAATGTGCCTGTTTAATATGCCAGAAATTAAAGAGCTCCATGGCGGGCAAAAGTGTGGCAATGGATATGTGGAAGAAGGCGAGGAGTGCGACTGTGGTGAACCTGAAGTAAGACTGCCCGAGAGAGATTGGATTACATTTTTTATTGCTTTATGAATTTCAAATTCATTCTCCGGGGACAGGAGTTAAGCTCAAACCTGAGTGGAGTATTGTGCACCGAATCAATTCAAGCCTGGTCCTATTTAAAGAATCAGCATACTTTACATACATGTATATTATCTTAATGAGCAATATACTACAATGCTTCTATGCAGGTAGCTTCAAAGGAGATTTTCCCCAAACCCCAGTGTATTTGTGGACCTTGGACTGTGTTGAGGATCATACACTTATAGACTAGAGGCTTACGTAGCATCTCCCCTGTTATGAATTATTAAAGCACGAATTGGCCTAGTAACACTGACCTCCTAAACAAACAGTAACAGTCAAAAGGCCTGGCAGGCCATGTTTATGTGGACCTGTGGTAGATATTATGATTACTCATAGTAATGGGAATGGAGGACTGATGGTGACCACTAAGGTTTTACAATACAGTAGTTCAAAATGAACAGCTATAAAGTCACAGTAAATTCCTTTGATCTGTCCTCCTTTTACTGCAAAGAATTGTACCATTTACTAATACAAATAAACTGCACATAATAATGTGCATGTTTTCCACTATCTTTGCCTATCTATAGTTGATGGCTTGAGTCATGTGTAGTGGATGTGAAGTGAGGATAGCACAGAGTCATCGAGTATCATGGGTGCTTATAGAATCTACATTTTTTTTTACAATATTTATTTTTTCTGCTGAGGACAGTCATGTTTTCATCAATTCAAGAAGATAAACAGTGGAAATTAGGCTAACTTCCAGCTGGGTAGATTCCTCTAACAAAAACCAAAAGGCAGACTGAAGCTGTGCACCCTTGCCAACACTGATGGCTCTGGATATCTTCATGTAAAGAATTTAATAACATTTGTTGACTTAAATTGTCACTATATTTTAGTTATACAGACACCGAGATAATCAAGCTCACAGAGGCAGGATGTTCCATTCGAGAAACCTTAATATAGCAATGTGCAGAATACAGAAAGGTATAGTTACCAAGAACTGAATTAGGATTTATAGTTTTTTTTCTACTTTACCTTTTCTACGTTGTCTTGGTTTGTTTTCTTCTTGTATTCTTTATTTGCTAACTTCTTCTTTCCCGGGTCTATTCTGTAGAGCATCAGCAACAACAGCTGTCTTTATACCCATTTGGTTGTTTGATCCTTTGTTCAACTCTAACCATCTCTAAACTTATCTCACAGATATAATTTCCTCAATTTTCCCACTCTTTCATCTCACAAAACAATTCCATTAAAACATTACTTGTACTCCTGACTGCACTTTGACCACATTTCTAAAAACCTGGACTTCGATAAGAAAAGGTAGCTTTGGACTCAATTTCCTCCAATTTACGACTGAAGGCCATCTGTTCCTTTGTTCTACCTCTTGTCCAAGACATTAACCATTTGGTGACATTTCCTCATTAACTTATGTAAGTAAGGAAAGGGAAATGTTACAAACATATCAATACAATCCACTTATTAGTACCGTGCAGGTCAAAGACATTAGATGGAGATAAGTCAGATACTATTCATTCCCGGCAAGGATACAAAGGTTACAATGTACAATCATTAACAAAACTTCACTTGAAGATATACTACAAATATTCAATAATTTCTATTGCAGGCAGTAATACAACAGTGTACTAGTCAACTGAACAATATTTCACTAATCTATAGCAATAAAGTAATTATAAGTATATTTTCCATGCTGGCAACATGTATCAATAGTATATATGCATCATTTTATATATGAAGGGACCAACTTGCTCACAATGTTTCACATGTTATACTTTGAAGATTTCCAAGTGTCACATTGTTTAAGGGAAATCTTTGGGATCAATTTCGCTGTTTTTCTTAATAAAGAAATCTACGATTTAAGAGCTAAGAGTGGATTCCTTATGGTAACAGTAAATACCTTCCACTGACACAATGGAAACCAACTCCGCAAATAGATTGCGTTGGAGTGGTGTTTCTCCAAGTCACTGCTGTGGACTTAATTTTTTAATTAAAATACTGCAGAATTGGCCCCAATATTATCTGACAGAATACTAAAAGTACCAAGATACCTTGGGGCAGCTGAGCTAACATGTACCAGAATTGTTTCTTTTGCCATTATAAATTTTGCCAGTTGAAAAGATTATCAAATTCATGCCATTTATTGCTACCCGTAACTACAGCTTGGGGATAAATGAGTATTAGAATGTATTTGCTGAACAGTAACATGAGAAGTATTATTTTAAGAAATAAATTAATATTTAACTTTGTTGTTATGCACAGTTTTTTTGTGTTTTTTTTTCCTCTAGTACTTTTACTGACCATAAGTCAATAATGTCTGGGTATTTTGTCTTTTGCATTGCTTAGTGTGGTCATAATTCTAATTGTGTGTGTTTTTTTCCTGCTTTGAGGAATGTACCAACCCTTGCTGTAATGCGAGCACCTGCACACTGAAATCCGAAGCAGTATGTGCACATGGACTTTGCTGCAAAGATTGCAAGGTGATCAAATCTTTTGAGATCTGAGATTCTTCTTCCTGCTGAAAGAATGTATATGTTCTCTATCCCAGGAAACTAATAGCGAGAAATTCCACCTGAGTCTAGATTTTCTCTATTTATCTAGTGTTTCAGAGCGGCCAGAATTTGGCAAATTGTTGAATTCAGTCTTGACTTTGAAGTTGGTTTTCCAGTAGTTTGTAGAAGAATTTACAGAAAATGGACTCCTAAATTAAGACTGCTTTAAGAATTTGCCAAATTCTGGACATGCTGAAATGCTAAGAAAAGAAAATAAATCTAGACCCAGGTGTAATATTCACCCCCTAGCAACATAGTACTCACTACAATTAAATTAATTGTCTTAAGCACTTTGAGGTATTTTTAATTAAGGCATTATCAAACACAAGAAATATATTAAGTATATAACAAACTTAAAAATAGTGATTTGTACATTATCAAAAGCAATGCATTATTGTGAAATAATCAAAAGCAGTAAGGCTCTCATCTATCCCTTCAATTGCTTTAGTTCTATATAGATTTAAAGGAGTAAATCCCTTAACTCTCAAAAGCACCGTATATAACTTGATTTATTGTACTTTGCTAATTTAAATAACTGCAAATATCTCCATTATTTCAGTGAATCCACAGAATGCAATGCAATATTTAGTGCTCTCTAGTTGAGTTGATATCAATACTTTAAACTGTAGATTTAAGTGCCAGGGCTGGTGTAGACAAAACATAAGAGATTCCATATTAGTTGTATTGGCAATTTATCCCAGTTGGAGGTCTGTGCAAGAAGGTTAAAGGTCAAGTAGAGCTGGGAAAAGGTTTAAATGTAATCTTATATTCTCCATTTTTTCCATCTCAATAAACAGAATAGCAATGTCCGTATGAAAATCAAGCAGTTTGTTCTTATCCACGAATTCCATCACATTCTCAGACATCTGTTATTTATATAATGCTGTACATGCAATTCAATTTGTTAATTAATGCCACTGTTTTATTCCATGCTGTGCAGCTGCATTGTAAACTGTAATCATATCATGTGGTGTTAGTGGTAATAGTGATGATGGAAAACACAGCCAGATAGGATCACATGACGGGAAGAGTTTAACAAATATGTTTTTCAAGTCTATTTCTGGAATATCCTTATTATGAGGAGAATAGAAAACATCGGGAGGATCTGGTCAAATTAAACAGATGAGTCAAGCAGTGACAGATGTTTTTTTTCAATATACGTGAATACAAGGCGATACACATTCAAATAAGAAACAGCAAACATTTGTACACAATGAAGGGTTGTCCATTAGAAAAGGATTGGGTAGGGAAACAATTTGAGTGTGATTACTGATCATTCAGTGAAGCTTTCCAGATGATGTAAAGCTCTGTCAATCAAGCTAATCAAATAGTAGGCTTCATCTTGCACATATGTGGTTATAAGCCTAAAGAAGCAGTTGTGACCTTGTATTGATCACTGGTGAGACCATGTTTGGAATATTGTGCACCCTTCTAGACCTGCCAGAATGTCATTGAAGTGTTTGGAGAGGATTCAGAGAAGAACAACAAGCATGGGACTTAGAGCTCTATTTTTTCCCACAGAGCAGTGGTTACATGGCACAATAGGAATCCATTTAGCCCATCAAGCTTGTTCTGCCAGTTTATTACTACAACAACAACTTACATTTATACAGCGCCCCTCACACAGGGTAACATCATGACAGACCTTTTAATTCCATTTTCATCTTAATATCTTTAATTCCCAACTACCTGTCAATGTATATATTTGAAATATTCCAATTGATTCTGCCTATACAGCCTTCTCGGGCCGTGCATTCTGCAACAAAATAAATTAATGTTTTATTCTCAGTAACTCATTCAAAAAGAAACTGGATAAGTGCTGTATCAATATGGGATTGGTATTTTAAGTTGAGTTAGCTGCAATGAACAAATTATTCATGGAACACAATGATTTCTACGCAGCAGGGGCTGGAATGTTGTCATTGGAGAGAAGGTGAAAGTTGTAGACGGATGAATATTCTGCTTGGTTACCATTGTAGTTCAGGGAGTATCTGAGCAGTGCTTTTTCCCCAAGAGATGGCATGTGTGATTATTAAATAGATTTTGCGTGGTTCTGGAAGGAACAATCTTAACATACTTCCTTCTGTTCTTAATTTGCATATTCATAACATTGTAATTCATACAGAAAAAAAGTATTTGGTTCTACTGCTAGCCAAATATCCAAATTCAAATTATTTCAAGCCACAAAATACACAAGGTAACATTTTAATAATTCATACCAAAATATGTTGAGTGAATCATTTGAATCCGCATTCAATAAAATATTTGCTTTAGTGTGTATATGTATCTCTGCCAGTATGTTACCGTCTTTTAACTAAATATTTTCACCAGACAATTATTTCACAGACTGCATAACAACGTGATTCAATTACATTTTGTTTTTTGTTGATGTGCATTTGCAGTTGAAGCCTCCAGGAACCCCTTGCAGAGAGTCCAGTAATTCCTGTGATCTACCTGAGTTCTGCACTGGAGCAAATGCACACTGTCCAGCCAACGTATATCTACACGATGGGCAACCCTGCCACAAGAAAGATGGTTACTGTTACAATGGAATATGTCAGACACACGAACAGCAGTGTATTACTCTCTGGGGATCAGGTATATATAATCATCACTAAAATCTAATTGCATCACAGCACAGAACTTCAAGCTTTCTGATCCTCTATTCACTCCGTTTCAGAATGTTTGAAAGGAAGAAATTAGAATGGTCGCTAAGGGTTAAAGGTTAAGGAAAACGATAATCTTATGAACATTGTGAATTGTCGCACTCAAATCACAATTCTTCCATTGTCCCTTGAACTTTAATCCTCAGTTTAACAGTCTCTCAAGGTATTGTATGTCAAGCATTATCATTTCATGAGCAGATTCAATACACAGTATATCTTGAGGAAACATTTCTAAGCATTTATATAGCCCCAGTCCACTCACTTATTGTTCATCTCTCCTCTTCCCCATTACCTATTTCTTAAGTTATTTTCTTTCAGATCCTCCTACCCACGTGCGGTCTGACTGCATTTGTAATTCCATAATTCAGCACTGAGCCACTTGAACTTCACATGAGGAGATGCCAGGATGGCACAAAGATGACCTATCATCTAATTTCTCCTCCCTCCTTGAGTCACAGTGTTTCAGCTTCATAGGTATCTCCCTAAAGAGCCAGCATCAGGCCTGAATCAGTGAGACAAATCCATACTCACCTATATGATGCAACGTGTTACTGCATTAAGTCTCTCCACCATCAGGCTGCTTTCAAGGATATTCCTATTGCTGGTACCAGGTAGGGTCCAATAACATGCTCATGTGCAATTTGTCCACAAAACTTGAAAGTATACATTTAAAAAAAAACATTGAATTTGCCAGACAATATTTGTCAAGTTTGCTTTTTAATAGATTGTTCTGTAGTCAATGATGTTGCCACTAATTCCCAACCAGATGGTTGGAGATTTCAACTCTGGGACTGGTATTCAGATCTGGAGATAATTTTTTCGGTTCTCAATAAAGACGCTAAACGGTGGTCTGCCACGAAGGAGTGTTCCACCTTAGAGGTTTGACAGACAGATGTTCTCTGTCTAACAGTGCAGATGTTCGATGGAGTGGCATTTGTGCAGCTGGGAAAAATAGTCAGTAACCTGTATTAATATGATGGAGTAATACAGAATGTTTTGAAGGAATGAAGAAGGGATGATTAATGATACAAAATTATTTAATTATATATGTCTAAAATCTTCATGTGTCACAGCAGGTGTGGTTGAGAAAGCACCCAGTCCCATCCACTGTTATCAACACTTCCTTATAGTTTATGAAAAATGGTTTCATATAGCACTGGGTTTTACTGTGATGATCTTGTCTGGTATTGGAGATTGTGTGAGTGCTATGATACCATAAACATGCTTCCATCAGCTGCAAGATTTGATAGCACTTTCCTCCTTCACGTTGACAAGCACTGAAAATGACTGAAATTGTTCCTTTTTCATTAGGTGCCAAACCTGCTCCTGGAATCTGCTTTGAAAAAGTAAACTCAGCAGGTGATCCCTATGGTAACTGCGGGAAAGACTCATCTGGTTCATTTGCAAAATGTGAGACCAGGTACACACAATACATATTTTCTCTTGGAAAACAGATTGCAGATTTTAAGCAGCTCTGCCCCATAAGCGTTTAGTCAAGAAACACCAAAGGTGCAGAATAACACTGAGTGTCCATACATTGGACTCCTCTTAGCTCCTTTTCTTATTTGCCTTTTGTTGTCTTTAGTCCCTTGGGTGACTCAGATCCACATCTACTTGGCTCTTTAATACGTGACTGGAATTTTAGGACCACTTTTGACTGTTCCAGGACTAGAGGGCATTATTGAGGACATGCTGTATCTTATATTTTGCATGTCAGTGAGAGTAGAAAGAGGATTGATAATAAGTCAACTTATTTCTGGTTTCTGGTTGTAGGTGTCTGTTTGATCCAGCTGATTTTATTGGTGGTTCAGTATCGATGGATTAAATTACCCTTGCTCTACGGTGAATGATCCATCCATAATTTTTCTGATAGCTGTACAGATGTATATCAGTAATATCCACCTTCATTGATAATCTGTGGTGTTATTTGTCCAAGAATTGTCTTACGATACAAATACCTTTTGACCATATTTTTCCAAGCAATGCAGATTTAGTCTTTGTGGGTGGCATTTAATATTCTGACCAATCCAGATTATCTACACAAAGATGCAATCCCAATTTCCTTTGTAGTCCCTCCTCCTTGCCCCCTCTCTCCCCTTTTCAGTCCCGCCTGAAAACCTTCCTTTTCGACTGTGCTTACGGTCACCTCCCCCACCCCACCTCCTCGGAGTCAGGCTCCGCCACTATTAAGTATTCTAAGACGTTACCCTGCATGGAGGATCCTATAAAAGTGCAAATTGTTGTAGTCTACATTGAGTTGCCAACCACAGCACCCAGTTTTCCAGCCGGCTCTATTGGCTCCTGTTCCATGGTGTAGAATTCCCCATCAGTCTAAATTGGTTTTCCATCCCTGGTGTCATTTCCTGTGAGTCCAAGTTGACTCTCATTTCATTGCGTCCAATTTCCCACCAAACTAACTTGGCTCCCCATTCATATCATCCAGTTTCCCAAAAACCTTACTTGGCTTTTTAGGCATGGTGTCTGATATCCCACCAGACTAAGTTGGCTCTGTCAATGGTGTTTCATTTCCCAGCAACAAAAGTTGGCTCTTGATCCATGTGTCCCAACAGTCTGCAATGATTGCCTGACCATGTTATCCAATTTTCCAAGTAGTCTCAGTTAACTGACACAGTATCCAGTTTATCTAACTGTTTAGTGTGGTCTTCAACAGTGGTGTCAAATCTATGTACTAATCTAAATTTGTTGTTTGTCCATACTCTGCAATTTCCTTCTCATATCAAGCTTTGATGTCCAAGTTCTTTGGAAGATTTTTTTCAAATGTGTCCAACAATGATGTCTGGTTTGGCTTATTGCCCTTGACACCGAATTCCCTGGCAGTTTACACCATCTGATTTATTGTTGATCTGGAGAGCGATATTCTCAAAGTGTCAGTTTTCTCTGTTCTGGAAGGTTTTCCACACCAGACTTTTGACCACAAGTGAATTCTTCTTATGAATTTCTGATAAGCATTCAGGTAATGCATCAGTTATGAGGCAGTGCAGAATCTTTCTCTGTCTCTCTGTAGTCATGCTGTCCTAATAATCCTGAGTCATGGTTTCATTTAAAAAAAAGAACTGCTGTGATGCCTAGGAGTTTTATACATTGGAGGATTCAGATCTCAACAAATTGGTGTAATTTTTACACTGTTATAATGCTTGTAGGTACCAACTGCAGAATCAGAAGCAGTGCTTTGACCATAAAAACAAACCTGAAAGACCTGTTCACAGAAAAACATAAAGTGCACAGCGCCAAGAGGCTACTTGAATTTGAGACCTTTGCACAAAAGAAACATCTGCAAAGTGTTCTCCGGAATTTGGGCACAGGTGGTTGAATTCCAAAGCTAATAACAGCACCTTTTAACCAAGAAAATTATTTTCTTTACTGGTCTTTGAAGCAGCGGCAAACCCATTTCGAACATACTCTTCTGCCACTTTCACAGAATGAAGGTATCAATCAAACACTTTTATGTGGAAAAGTAAAAAGAACGCAAGCAGAGAGCTCTGGTTGGCTATGTGTGAATTTGTGAAACTAATAACCACATCATTTTGAAAAGGGATACCCGAAAGGACTGCAGCTTTTACACAATGAGAAATAATATATTTATATTTCTGGTTTCAGTGTAAGATATTATTAGATGTTTTCTCTCAATCCAAGCTGTGTATTTTAAGCAGGATTCAATGAACTGATCTTTCTTGTACTTCTGATTTAGTTAAACCTTAATTGACCTCAGATTACCATACCTGATTTCAGTGCAGATTGAGGAGCCAGACTACGTCACCCAGTTGAAAAAAAGAATCTGCGCTTTCGTTTGAAGAGTTGAAGCTATAGGATTTATCACGTGTTCGCATCTAAGAAAACTTCCCCCTATTTAAGCCCTAAATTCTCATTTGCACCGGTTCAATTTTTAGACACCTGTTAAGCAGGAACTAACTTGCAGTTGTATTCTTAAAAGCTTGTTGGAAAAATATATTTCACAATAACCTACACAGCAAAAGTTACTAAACTTCGAAGTAACTTTTGTTTAAGCACAATAAAGAAGTTTAGACTTGATAATGCTTCATATTTAACAAAGCATTATTCATTATTTTATTCCAGGTCATTGTCCCTCTTCCTAATGATTCATTAGATTGAGGTCCCATCTACCTTGTGATTCAAATGATGCTAAGGAATCACCTGCCATTATTTCACGGAAAAGTGTACATTTTCTCCCCAATATCCTGGTTAATATCCCTCCCCAATTTAAATTCACCCTCACAGATTGGATGACTTTTCGTCTCATTTCTGTTGGATGTTGTCACAAATTAGCTCCAATATGTACTTACATAACAATATTCACTTAATTATTTCTAATTCTTAATGCTTTTATCCAGCTTTCCTACCCCCACTCCCCCACTAGCTTAATTTCTAATTATTTTGTGAGGTTTTTTTTTAAGCACAACACAGAAGTTTGGACTTGATAAGGCTCTGTGTTTAACAAACTTCCTGCGAAAGATATTACAAATGCAAATAATTGTTTTAACCCTTCTAAGCTTGACCTGCAGTTTAAAATGTTAATTTCTTAGAACCTACTAGACAGATACGGCTGAAAAGCAATACAGTAGCAATAGTTAAGTACTCCAATTTCAATAAATGTATGACTTTCAATAAACAATTTTAACAATAAATGTCATGACTCAGTTACAGACATGAGACAATCTTAAATCTTAAATTGAGTAATTCTAAAATAGGAGCTATAAGGAAATCTATCCCCAGGATGGCTGACAATAAAACTTTATTGCTTATAGGAGCAGGAGAGTTTCAAATGGTCTAATGACTGATGCAGATTCTCAGCAATGGGACAGCACCAATCTTACCACTAAATAATAATAATAATAATAATCCTTGCATTTCATGTAGTGCCTTAACATGTCATTGAAACATCTCAAAGCACTTCACTGGATTTTACTATAAAGATCCCTGACTCTGTATTTTGTAGGCGGATAAAATTAACAAAGGAAAATTCAAAACAGTTGATCGCCTCATCCCATGTATGGCCCAGTCAAAACATACTCCTTTAAGTTCTGTTCTGAGAGCGGTATAAAACTGCACCTCGCTGCACACAATAAACAGGCGAGATAAATACAAATGCAGAAGTCCACCAGGAAGTGTTAAATACATTCCTTCCACATATTATTAATACAATATTAATATGGGCACGAGCTGTTAAGTTTTACTCAGCATAAATGCCGCGTACACTCAAAACTGTTTCAGCCTCTGGTCTTACCGTTTATTATTGTGTGGCATGAGCTGTTTATGAGCCATTAAACTTGACAGCTTGGATATTTACTACTTAAATGAGCAAGAGATTCTGAACATTTACCAGTGATATAAACGGAGTCAAATGGGGACAATCAATTAAAGAACAGCTTGATTGTGTGATGGGAAGAGCGCTGGTATCCCGGAAGCGTGAGATCAGGCGGGCTTGAAGGGCTTCTTCAACTCAACCAATTTGTGATCTATTTTTAACATAATCGGGTCAAAACAGCTATTTTGGATGGAGAGAAAAGAAGAAAGGGAAGAACGGTTTAATAATTGACTGGTACCTGGTGATGGGCATCATAATATTTGGGCAATAAAATAAACAATTGTAGCTTTTGAGACATTAAGATTTAAAAATCTGATTGTGCTCCCTCCCTCCCTCTCCACATTCAAAACCAAACTTAAGACCCATCTTTTTTAGACCGTGCTTTTATCCCCCGTTCCTACACCCCCTTCGGCTCAAGCTCCCATTAGGCTGTGTAAAGATATCCTCCCAATGTGAAAGATTCCATAAAAATGTCTCAGATAAAGATCTGTGATTCCACATGCAGCATCACGCAGCAGCATAAGTTACAGAATTCTTTGTGCGCTGTGTGATTTGATTACAAAATGTAACTTTTGGAAGCTCCTGAGGGTATTGAGTAGTTTAAAAGATTAATTTAGCGTGTTTGCACGTCTGGAGGTCAGCTGTACATCTTGGCGAGGCTGTTGATGGTAAATTTGCCACAGCTCCATTCACTGACATGCAATGTTTCATTTAACCACAGTGTCTAAAGTGTATTGTTTTGGGGAGCGGAGGTGGGGGAAGGGGATAATCCTTCTACTTTGCATGACTGCCTCCTCAATTACTATCTACTTTCTGTTTTTATAAACAGAGATGCTAAATGTGGAAAAATCCAGTGTCAGGGAGGAGCAAGCCGTCCGGTTATTGGGACAAATGCTGTCTCTATAGAAACTAACATTCCTTTGCAAGAAGGCGGAAGAATATTGTGTCGTGGTACACACGTGTATCTGGGCGATGATATGCCGGACCCAGGCCTTGTGCTTACCGGCACCAAGTGTGGAGAGGGGAAGGTAGGAACCACTCACACACACTTAATTATTTGCTGAATATTTTTCTGTTCAAATAAGTGCACCACCGATTATAGTAAACCTCCATCGGACTTTTTCAACACCACTGTTTAGCTAAACACCAGCATCCCCAACTCTGGGCTCTCATCACCCTGCACCTAATACATTCCAGAATGAGGTAAGCAGGGACAGAAGTGCACTGCATTCCAGACACAGGGAAGTTTCCATGTATAAGTGGTATGCGTACGTGGAACTGTCAGCAGGTTTGGACCTCTTTAGCGTGGTGATGGGTTTCCTCATATGTTATACACCCAGCTGACCTTTTCCCCCCCACCGCTAAAAAAAAACTCCAGCTGTTTTAATGTAAATTAAACGATTTTATATTTTGGCAGAAATTTCATCTTCTAATAGAGGTTAATACTGCGGATTGTAATGAAAAGATTGATCGGCCACAGAGAAATGCCGTCAGGATCTGTTAATTCAGTTATTTATTCCCTGATGCTCTTTCTTATTGATTCCTTACTGGCAGTTTCCATTCAATGTGAAGCTGCTGTCAAAACTAATCAAATATCAGGTTGCATCTTGGGGGCATTTTACTGTAATTTGAAAGAACGTGTTCTAACCTTGCATAAATAGCTGGTGAAGCCACATTTCCAATGCTGTGTGCAGTTTTGGTTACACTTTTTTGGATTGAGGTGTTGGAGAGGATAGAGAGAATAGCGACTAAGATGATTCCTAGGATTTAGAGCTCATGTTATGAGGATAGGCTGTTAAGCAGAACTTACCCTCAATAGAAAAAAGATTCAGGGAAATCTATAAATAATAATAATCTTTGCATTTGATACAGCGCCTTATCACGTCTTCGAGACGTCTCAAAGCGCTTCACAGAATATACTGTAAAGTGAATTGACTGTATATTTTGAGGGTGAAACACAGCAGCCAATTGTGCACAGCAGTGTCCCACAAACAGTCGTGGATTGAATGATCAAATCATTATTTTTTTTGAAGGGATTATTACCCCCAGAAAAGCAATCCGCCAATCAACTAACAGTCAAGTTGCTATTTACTGCTAGGTAAACCGAGGCGAGTGGAGTAAGGAAACTTGCCCAATGTCTCGCCCTGCCCCGGAATTGAACCCAGGTCTTCTCGCTTGCAAGACGAGTGCTCTAACCACTGAGCTACAGAACTATGAAAGGCATAGCTGGTAGACATATAGAAGGCTACTTAATGTAGACTATGAGAGTAGAACTAGAGGACATGAGTTTAAAATTTAAAAAAAACTCTAGCAGGGTTGAGAGCAGCAGTTCTTCACAGTTTAATACATATGTAGAAGAGTCTCCCAATGAAGCTTTGTTCATTCTTTCAAAAACAACTGGGTAACCCTCTGTTTGACACTGTATTGGTTATATGGATAGGAATAGAACTGAAACTAATTCTTCACGGGACACGGTGATGGGGCCAGCAGTAGGGAGAATGAAAAGAGGCCAAATATGAATGTTAGAGATGCGGGAAAGGAAGAATATTCTGCAGGTTTTGCTTGACTATTTTTAGAATTTGGAGACAAAGCCTCTTTGTGAGGTGTACACCAGGAGAGAGGAAGGTGGGGTGAAGTTCACGATGCGGGTAATTTTGTATGCAAGCTATGTAGGGAGTGGGCTTGATGGGCTGAATAGCTTTTTCTCATGATGACAGACAGTAAAATGGGTGTGAGGTACAATACAAACTGGAACAGTTAATCTGTTTTTGTGGCAAAGTTTGCTACCTTTGCTAATGGGAGAATTGAGGTGTTCTCTTCTGTCTTTGTGTACTACATTACGAGAATAATTTAAATTCAATGTTTGCATTGCCATTTTACTGGGGCAGGAATTTACTTGCTGTTTAAGGCATTCTTTCCTGTTTATGTTGAGTTAAAACCAGATTACACCAATTTTCCCAGCATTGCCTTAGGAAATATTTTTGCTCATAAAATAAAGAGAAAGGCATCTTGTGGGTACAATTAACATTGCTCCAGCCCTGTAAGACTGCTATTTTGCCACAGGTTTAGACTGGATCTGGGTAGGGGGGCAGAATGTCCCAATGGATATAAAGAAAGATTCTATAGTAATGCCAGCTTCAGTTGTATTTGAACACTTCTATATGGTGGAAAAATCCAGTCGATAATAGTTCTAAGGAAAATTTTAATTCTTCAAAAACCTCATTAGTGTGAAAAATGGACACAATCTTCTTATGGCTTTGACTTTGTCCTCTTTGTGGATATTAACAACTCTGGAATTACAGAAAGGGAAACTCAGCAAACTTTTTAAACCTTGTGGTTAATGTTTTAAAAATGAAGCAACAGAAAATTTGGGTCTAATTGATTTTTTGAAATCCCAGGTGTTACTTAGTTTGAGTGGACATGATCCATGAACAAAAGATAAGTGAGAAAGTTAATTATTTTTTAGATAGTATTCGGTGCTGCTTCAGTCACATAAATTGAGAATTGGTAGGGATGCAATAAAAAGCCATTGTCATCTGACTGATAGTTGAGTGAATTGACAGCAACTTAAAAATAATTGGAGCTGTAACAGCAGTAACCAACATGCATTCATTCACTAGTAATCATTTCAAATAGTATATTTTGAAGGGTTTGAAAGGTCCCATCCTTTTATTCCGGCTTCTTTATGGCAAGCTAGGAGTCCCAGGTGCCAAACCCATGTTAGCCTAAAAACAAGATTGTACCAGCCCAACCAGGTCACTTTGAAGGACAAAAGTCTCAAAAGGGGTAAAAATCACAGAAAGGGCAATCTGTGGTATATTCCAATAATCACTGGAAAGCCAGACAGTTTAATACATTTAGCATCTGTTTATGTACTTGTGGACCTGATTTAGTGCATTTATTATGATATTGTAAAGTTTTACTTCTGTGTCTTGGTTTTATGATTTTACTGTCATAGGTTTTTTTTCCTGCCATGTGATACTTATTTTAATGCATTTTTGCATGCTTACAAATTGCACCAAAAAGCAGCATTGAACACAGATTTTATATCACAGCACAATACTTGCTTTGAAAAATTGCCACTTCACCATTATAATGCAGCGGGAAAAAAACAAATCAAGAAATAAGAACTACACTGTCTCATTCCTTGTTCAATTGATCTATTGAACTGCCAATGTTTCAGCAGCACCAATGCCATCTGTCCTGAATTGTCATCGTGTAAATCTGCCCATAATGTAGTGCTGGCTGAAGAACATTTTGGACTGACTGCTGAATTACACTGTAATCATGTGAACGGAATATGATACTGTACCACGCTGTACAGCAAAATCCTTGCCTTTCACCCAAAGAAACTCTGGATGGGGGATGGGGAGGGGGGCGAGTGTTAAACTATTCCCCATTTTTTTTGCATGTTCAACGACCTGTTGAGGCACACAGAGCTGATTAGTAAGTACCATTTTTAATCTTGTGAACTAAAAATAACACCAATTTTTTTTTCTTTCGCCTGCCTAGATCTGTCTAAATCGACAGTGCCAGAATATTAGCGTCTTTGGAGTGAGGGAGTGTGCTTCGAAATGTCATGGGCAAGGGGTAAGAACATCCAGCAGTGCAGATAAAGGTTGAGTGTGCGGGAGAATACATTGTGACAGAAGTTCTTTGTTATCCTTCCCACATAACAGTGTTAATCAAATCTATGTTTGGATACCAGTTATTTTCAATCAATTAACATCAGCAAAGCAAAATGGAAATGTCCGCTGTTTCAGTAGCATGTTTACGACTTAAGAACAGTCTGAACGGAAAGCAACAACTACCATAAAATATGTAGCAGCAGTCCTTACATTTGATCCAGCACCTTTCATGTGGAGAAGACATCTCAAAGTACAACACAGCATTAACTGTAAAATACAATGATTTTGTATTTTGTAGGCAAATGTGGCAGCCAATTTGCACATACAGCCATACTTATGGAAATGTTCATATCACTGTGCCTGAAAGGCCCATGTAATAGGACCTGGTAGAAAGATATGAGTAAGTAGTCCACAAGCTGCTTTCTTAAAAGCTTCTGCAGTGTGGATGGATATTTTCTAAGAGAAAATCAATCCTCAATCGTATTCCCTGTTTCTTGTGTTAATTTTACCTACTCAGCTCTCAGGTTATAGTGGTCTCAGAAAAGTTGTATAGGGCTATCCATTCCCACATCTACGTCCGCAATATTATAACACAGGATAAGCTGTTTTGAACTGTCATTAGTTTTTACTAAGTAAATACTATGCAGTTTAATTTGCTGTACTATTTAACAAGATTTCTTATTAAGGAATTCTACCAGAATTCCCATCAAACCCATGGGATCTCCTCTCTGATATAAATCACATCAAAGCAAAGGTCCCGCAAGTCAGTGTGACGTACATCTGGTTGTCAGGAGTCCCCACTCGTGTGCTTTAAATTCCTTAAGGAATCCCTTTGGGAACTGTTGCGAATTAGACCCAGGGACCTAATTTCAAATGAAGTTTCATCTGCTTTGCCTAGGTTGTCTTGCACATTATAAGAAACTGATCCACAAAGAGCAAAGCAAAAGGAGAGATAATATTAAAAGGAGAGATCAGGTTAACTTAACCTGCTCTTGTGCATCTCTCTGGTGAATTACAGAACAGCACTGACAGAGACCTAAACCCAGAGTAGATCAATTGTTTGTGCTCTTAGCTGCGAAATAGTCTGTAGCTCTAAAAATGAGTAGAAAAGAACTACAAATTAGATGGGGAAATGCAATGTAACAAAAAAGGACCCACAGAAACTTTAATTTTGGATTTCCAACCGTTTTTAATTCAATAATTTGTTCTGATTAAGTAATAATAATAATAATCCGTGCATTTGATAAAGCGCCTTATCACATCTTCGAGACGTCTCAAAGTGCTTCACGGAATATACTGTAAAGTGAATTGACTGTATATTCTGTGAGCGAAAACCGTCTTAAAATCAATTTAATGTCACAACCATGCAAAAGCATCTTTGAAAGGTATCCCACTGAATATGTTACAACAACACTTTTCAACTTTGTATGGAGTTTTATTCTCCCACAAGGACTCTTTCCAAGAACTGACAAGCTTCATTCCAGTCGTGGCAGTAAGCCATAACCCTTGGCTCCAAGGGCAGGTTTGTCTCACCCAAGCTACCGAGCCACATGTTTTCATTAGCTAGGGTAAATGGAAAGTTCAATTGAAATGAATTCAGAAGACATGACACACGGACTACAACACCAATGAGTACCGAGAGTGAATGACAGAAAGTCGTTGGCTATTGCATTCATTCTATAAACGAGTGTCCAGATGAAAAAGAGCATAGACGTTGCTTAATATCTTCCACCAAGCCAATGTGTGAACATCTGTGACAAATAAAGTGGGGGAAAAAATGTCTGTGAAAACTTTTCCTAAAGATGAAATCCAAACCAAATAATTCAGAGATTTCATTCCCAATCCGCTGCCTGGAAAGCCACGCAATGTTGCCATCTTATGGTGCTCAGGAGTAATGCAAACAAATAGCACTTATGTTGAACATAACTTGGTGCAATATGGAACCTCTATCTCTAAACAGTTAGTGATTTCAAAGTGAATAGTCTGCCTCCAACCCCGATATTTTTTTCTTTCACTGTTTTTGACAGTGTTAGTTTTCTCTGTGCTTCCAATTACTGTTGTGAATTGTGCTCATCCCTGAGAGTACTGCAGTAAGCTCTGTGTCTATCATGCTCCCTCTCGAGAGAGAGAGAGAGAGAGAGCTCACTGTGATAATGAAACACAGCACCTTGGAGTCATTATGCCTGCCACAGAATTGCGCATTTGAACCTTTTAGGATTCATTTTAAAAGAAAAGGAAATCAGCAACTTTGAAATTCAAATGAGAAGTGTTCAGAAATTCTTGATTGCATTTCTAGAGCCAACCGCTTATAATAATATAAAAGCATAACATCTTATTATTAATAATAATAACCTTTGCCTTTGATGTAGTAGCTTATCACATCGTTGAGACATCTGAAAGCATTTTACAGCATTTGTTGTAAACTACAGTGACTGGGCATTTGTATGGATACTGTTTAGATTCAGTATCTGTGAACATTGGTTTGAAAAGGCAAATGGAGGACGAGACAGTGTGACTGCAACATATGGTGCCATGATGTAATTAGAATTCTTCACCATTTCCTCCTTCCCCCATTTCAGTTCAAAGCCACAACATTGTGGGGAGACTAAATTGAAGCCAAACACCAGTGTGTGTCACTTGGCAAACATTTTGGAATGGGTTGCCCACCAGCAATCTTGGCCGCTGAAGTTGTGTTGCCTGGCACGTCGAGGGAAGGAATAATGGGATTAAAATAGAACATTACACAGAACTGAAAGTGCATTAAAAAAGTTATTGGACATTAGAGTAACTTGTTCCACTTAAAATGCTTCCCCAATTTTTCACTCTTTGCCTTTTGTACTCTGAAGATATTGGCTCGTACTGAGATGTACCTCCAAAGGCACCACCAACCTAAATGGCAATTCATCATCTGGATGTCCAGACAGTGAGTGTTGGCCATGAGCAGCAGCCAGCCAATGTGTTTTCAACTGAAACACAGACGTTCCAGAAAAATTCACTAAGTAATGATCAGGATCAGGGACCCTGGCTGATTCTTTTTCTCCTTTCCTAGTACAAGAATGCCAGAGCCAATTTTAGAAATTTGACAACCATGTAACTAAGATCCCACAATTTGGCACTGACCAGGGATCAAACTCGGAACATATTGGTCTATATGGCTCAATATCACAACACTCTGTGTATTTATACCGACTGGACCATCAAGGAATGCCTCCAGTTTTATAATGTTACACATATGATTTTGAACATCAGGAACAAATAGAGTAACTGCAGTGGCCTTTGAATAAATAGTACATTTATTAAATAATAATTGGATCTGAAGATTACTTGGTGTTCACATATGTTAATAGGACAGTAGAGTATTTCAAATAAGTTGTTCAGAGTTTCTGTTGGTCCCATGAAACACAAAAAGTACAGCAATGCTTTCTTAGGAACACAGTTATCCAATGACAATAAGACATATACGATAAATTGCAATCCTTCTTCACCAAATGCTATGACTAGATTAACAACAACAACAATCTCTTATAGGACCCAGACTACAAAACAAAACCGCTTTAATTGTGATAAAATCCCACCCTTCCATTTTCTCCTCATTGTTTCTTCTTTCCATTCTCTGTTTTTGCTTTTTTTTTAACATTGATTTAATCTATATTTGGGCCTAATCTACCACAATCTCGAGTGTCTGAAAAGACTGGCTTTAAACACCTTCGCAGGGGAGGATGGTAGGGAAAGATAAGATCAAATGGATCAGAGGGAATTTTTCATTCAAACCTCTCTTGTGATGTTGTGTGTCTTTTGTCTTCCTGGGTTTGATAATCCATTTCTGTGCTGGAACAACTTACACAAACCTAAATTTTCATCAGTTTTAAACAACCCAAATTTTAGCTTTTCTAGACAATGATAAATTCAATTGATTTCATGAAGATTGACAGCACTGCATCATAAAAATGTATTGAAACAGAAAGCAGAAGTAGCCTCACTGTAAGCACACAAAGCAAATTTATTCATAACACAATATGGGTTAATCTCTAAAGAGAGGTGAATAACTTCCAACAAGATGAAATACTACAATTTCTCCCAATCTTCTGAAGGTAATTGAGCAAATGCACCAGGATATCATTCTATCATGACAATCTACATTATTCAACACTGACTGGTTGCATTCAACGGTCTTGTTTGTTCCATATAGTATTTGATTATTAGTCAATACGTATTCTTCAATCCTTTAAACCCCTCAAACATCTATTTATCAACTCTTTCTTTAATACGAGCATTAACGTAATGCAGATGGATCAAATACTCCAGAATTTGTATTTATATAAATCCTATCCTTATTTCAGGTTTATAAGTGGGAAGAAAATAGGGTTGGTATTCTGAAAGGATGAATCAAATGGGTTGAAGGATCTCTTGCAATCTTATCATTTTACTCAAAAGAGGAAACGTTCAAATTGTCATTTATGATAAATAATAGTAATCCTTGCACTTGATGTAGCACCTTCTATGTTGGGAAGATGTCACAAAGTGCTGTGCAGGATTTACTGTAAGATTTAGTGACTTTGGATTTTGTAGGCGAATGCAGCAGTCAATTTGCAATTTGCACACATTAATGTCCCATAAACAGCCATGGAGGGAATGATCAAAATTATCTGGAGGATAAATTGTCAGGTCACTGCCAGATTCTCTTTTCGCTCAATACAATGTGATCTTTATGGTTCATCTGAACAGGCAGATGGGATCAAAGGATGGCACCTCTGACAATGTAGCACCCCTCCAGCACTGTATTGGAGCATCAGCCTAGACTGTGAATTCAAAATCCCAATGTGAGTCTTGAACCTACTACCTCCTGACTCAGAGGCAAGAGTGCTAACAGCTGAGCCATGATATTGTTGAGAAATACAGCAAATTAGACCCCAATATTTATTCATGTCGACGTCTGTGACTGCGGTTGCCCTGTGTGTTTCACATGTACAGTTGATTTACAAAAGCTGATATCAATTTACGTTATTTCTTGAAAAGGTTTGCAACAACAACGAAAACTGCCACTGTGACCAGGACTGGGCTCCTCCATACTGTGACAAACCCGGTTTAGGAGGCAGCGTCGACAGTGGGCCAATGAGGCTGCAAGGTGAGGAGTCCAACTATTAATCCTACGCGTGCAATTCAGTTTTAGCACGATGGATACGGAAAATAATGATTAATACACACAGATACCAGTGAACATATTGTGAAACAATCCAGTAATGTTAAAAGCAAAAGATATTTTGTATTTGTGAATGCGCTGGCAATATAAAAGCATTTCTCCGGCCTCTCTCTCCCACCCCCCAAACTTGTTTCAACTGAAGAAATACATTTTATTTGAATTATTTTTGAGTTACAAAAAATGGGGCCCAAGTTCATAGGAATGAACCTTACAATATATAATTTCATGTATTTTATAACAATTCTGAATTTGGAAGAGTTGGCATGAAATCATAGTAATCTGTGCTGCTGTCATGACTGAGATAATACTTATTCTATTTTCAGAAAGTAACAGCCTCTTTGTGGGTATACTGGTTACCATCTTGAGTCTAATCACTGCTGGGTTGATCATGTGTTTCAAACGGAAGACATTACTGCAGCTGCTTTTCTCACAGAAGCTGACAACTGTCGAAAAATTAAGGTAAAGCATTTGCTGAACAGATTCTGGTGGATTTTGTTTCCCTCTTGATTTGTTTGTAAGATTATCATATCCGAGCCCGAGGAGGGGAGGTCTGGAGACTATACCCATAATCTAGAAGTCACTGGGAACACACAGAAGGTCAGGCAGCCTCTATGGAGAGAGGAAACGTTTCAGGTCGATGACCTTTCATCAGAATTCTTGACAAAAGGTCATCGACCTGAAACATTAACTGACTTTCCACTCTCCATGGATGCTGCCTGACCTGCTGAGTGTTCCCAGCGACTTCTGTTTTTATTTCAGATTTCCGGCATCCGCAGTATTTTGCCTTTGCTGTGACCATAATCTAGTTACTTTGCTGCTCTGCCCCTACATTATCATTTCAACCCTTCCTAATTCCACAGATCCTGTTTCCTTCCTCATGAATATAAAACTATGCATAATTCAATTTCATAATTAGGCTTACAGCGAATTTAATTAATATTATATTTTGGTGATCAAAGTCAGCGCTGAGATGACAGTGCTGGTGGATGGAAAGAATATCAATTTGTGTTCAGCAATAGCACTGAGTGTTAATACATAAGATGTGATGCAGTTGGTACTAATATGGATCTCTGTCTTGCCATACAATTGCCAAGTCTTTCAGATCAATGAGAACTGACTGTCAATCGACAGCGACCAGAATTTGCACTGGTTATGTTCTGTGGGATCATCAAGTGCCACGTGATTTTATCTTCAGCCGGCAAAATGTAACAGCATCAATAAGAGGAACTTTTCAGTTCATTCTCTTAAAAAGCCAACTTTCTAGTTGAAAAATGAGACTAACGCTGTGCTTTAATTAAAATAGTGACATTTTCACAACAGACTCAGTAAAACAGTAAACATTTTGCGCAGTGGCAGATTGTGTTACGTCTTGGTAGTTCCTCAACAAAGAGATCTCAGCTACACCTCAGGATTAAGTGCTTCCCCACAAAATGGAGAGAAAATTCAAACTCAAACTCCTTTGAGATAAGCAGGGAGGAAAATCAGCCAAACACTTACTCCTGAGTGCTATTTCGTGACCTCTGCTCCACTCTCTGTGTGTGGTGGTGTGGTGAGGAAAGAACTGAGATTGGCTGTGCATCCCTCCACGTTAAATAATCTGCTGGCATTCACATCTCGGCTCACAAATGAAGAAAAGCTTTTTGAGCATGTTATTAGAAAGCAGCTGACACCACCCTTAGGAGAGGAGGGGAGTGTTAGGGTCAAAAGTCAGTCACAAATTGCAGTTGGTAAAGATTTGTTGAATGTGCTTCTATTGTATGAGACTTGCATACCGTTGGATTGATCAAATATAAAATCTGTTGCAAATTGAATTATGCCAAGATACTTTCTTATGTTTAGGTCTGTCGGGCCAACTAGATCTTCAACTTCAAACCAGCCCAGTCCTGCCTACCTAACTCCCATTAAAAGAAAAGTCAACATGCAAAAGGTTTGCCTTTTGAGAAGCCGTGTACGGTCATAATTTCCAGTAGAAGGCAGCGGGCGGAGCATCTGTTTCTAATATTAAAAGATGAAAGCTGATAATAATAATTAATAACAAATAACATTCCTTGCATTTGATGTAGCACCTTTCATCTTAGTAGGCTGCCTCAAAGCACTTCACAGGATTTACCTTACAGTGTAGTGTCTATGTCTATGTTTTTGTAGGTGAAATTAATAAGCCTTTAAGAAAACATTCATTAAATATATAATTTAGTCTATCATAAGATCAGTATAGTATGGTAGCTGGTTAATAAGTTCTAGGACAAAGTTTTACGTAACAGCTAAGTCTTATTATAATAGGTTGAAGCGCTCAAAGTAGTCTGGGACACTATCACACGTGAAGGGCTCTATATAAATGCAAATTGTTGTTGCAATAATCCTTAATAATCCTTGCATTTGATATAGCGCCTTATCACGTCTTTGAGACAAAGGAGTATAGAATGTACTGTAAAGTGAATTGACTGTGTATTTTGTTGGCGAAACAAAACTTATTATTTGTTTTATTGCAGCAGACAGACAATCTCCAGCCTCCCAGGTCATTTCCACCCCCTGGAATGCGAGATCAAGCTGTACGAGGACCACCCTACTATCAGCCTGTTCACATCAGTAATCCTCTGCCAAATTCAGTCAGAACAGCAAATTTGCACTTTTCTCTGACACCTCAGCGGGTTCTGCCACCACTAAACCACAGCACGGAGTCTAATTCTGGAGTACCCAACAGGCCGCTGCCAGCAAACCCTTCTTTCAGAAGCCTCCAGGTACCCATGGGCTTTGTGTATTCAATGAATATCATTATAGCCCACTGAAAGATTCAAAAAAAGCCTCATGCATAAAAAGCACTGTCTTTCAGATCTTTCTAAATCATTTACCAGTCGATTTGACTTTGTCAACAGTAGCTATACTTAGTGAAATATCTTGTGCAACCTATTAGAAGTACAACAGAGGACGTTAAGTAGGTGATGTTTTGCTGTATCCATTGCTGCCCGTGCATTAAAACAAGTGTTAACAGAAGACATAAAGATGTAATGAACCTTTATACTATTTTAATTACTCTCTCTATGTCATGAATTCATTGTTTGACAGAGGTTGCTTGTAGTTTTAAATATCAAGTCAAACCTCAATAACTCTTTAATTCTGTCAGACTGACATTTCTGTACTACTTGCCATGCATTCCTTTTTAAAGAAAGGATTCTTTGACAACGCTACGCAAATATAAAGCACCATTTCCAAGAACTGCAAGCTATTTCTTTGTCACTGAAGAACTAATTTAATATATTTTTACTTTGGTTTCATCTTTAGTGCTTTTTACCTTATTTTATAAGGTAAACACATAGCCTGTATTTCTGTCATCTTTGTCAAGGAGAACAGTATGCCAATGTGCTAGAGGTGGTCCAATAATAGGATGAATCTTCCCTGATCCAGTCCTATTGAATGGCAAGATTTTAGGCAAAGATTAGCATCCAAAAGAGAGTGAAAGCATTCTCACAACTGCCATTTTGTCACATTGTTTTCATGGCGTGGAAATATTTGATCATTGCATCTTCTTCTGTTAAAATACAATCAGCAAAGCAAGCACACATATTACCATGGTAACATCAAACCGCTAACAAATTCTAAATCTAAAGATCAATTTAATCTTGGATGATAACATATTTGAACTTCACTGAAGAGCTTAAACCCTTTCCACTTTCCACTGTCCATTATGAACATTACCTCAATTCACGTTGAATTTACTGAACTCATATGTTGCTGTTTTTTTTGGAGAGGTTGGCCTTTTATATGCAATGACCAAGTTTTAACTTGTCTTGCCTAAGTAGTGTTCCAAGCTCTTCCCATTAATCCAAAATATAAAAGCTTGTTATTTATCATAATAAGAGTAATTATTATTATTAAGCACTTTGTAAGTGCACAAGAGAATAATTTTACAGGCTCTCATGCAATCTTAATTGCAAGTCATTTGCATTCACAATTATAATCATTAGAAGATCAACAAAGCCAAACCAAATGGTTATTTTTATTGTCGGAGGTTGATAAATAAATTCAAAAGTTTTTAGGATTTGAGAACTATATGTGTAAAGTGTATGGATAAAATAGATATAAAAGTGTGTGTGTGTGTGTGTATATATATGTGTGTGTGTTTAGAACTGACACTATTTAATCCAATTAGTAGCTCCATAGCTAAAAACTCATCATAAAACACTGACACCATGTCTGTATTGCTGCTGAAAATAACAATTAAGCTAACTATTGCACTTTTGCTGGTAATTCACTGTAAACATGTGTAATCAATAAATGGATCACGACAGAGTAAGAAATTCCAGTAGTTAGCAGAACTGCATATTTATGTTGCGTGTAGATGTATTTTGGACTAGTGCCTAACCAGGTTTCATTTGCTGGTTGCAGGCACCTTCTATACGCAATCCTCCGCAGAAACCACTGCCAGCAAATCCTATAAACCGACCATCTCATCTTAATGCCTCCTCCATGCAGAACCCTGAATTCCATATCAAACCTGTCAGGTGAGCTATATACTCAATTTAACTGCAGATGGTGCCTCTTTAGCTGTTGCTGTGTTCTTATTCTTTTAGGAAATAACATGATGGGATATAGTACATAGGTAGTTTGGGACATATGTGCATGCGACCGTCAGGAAGGTGGAAGGGGAACTAGATGGACCTTGGTCTTTTTATCGTCTAGCATTTCTTATGTTCTTAATGCTCGAAGGCATTTGACTATCAAACGTGGTAAGTTGTAAGCTCTTCAGCCTAAAAAAAAAAGCAATTTCAGAGCTATTTTCTTGTAGAGGTATATAACAAGATATAACGGGATAATGTAAGGGGTATGGGAATAAATGGAGTGCAGGAGCAGAACTGAGTAGGAAGTTGGGGAGCAGAGTTGAAAGAGGCATTTGGCAGTGGAGTTGAGCACCCCGGATTGTTGGGAAGCTACGGAGAGTCAAGAAACAGAAGGGATGCTGACAACTAAGTGAAGAAATATTCAGTGTAAACTGCTTCCAACGTTTCAGCCATTTAATTGAGAAAATCTTCTGAAGGTTCCATTCCCTGTAGTTAAACCCACTTTCAAAAATCATGAAAATCATAAAACTTGTATCTGTGACTTTTGACATTTTTATCGCGGGTAATCTCATTTTTCCTCTATAATTCACTGTGACAAAATAACAGCTCGCTGATAGCAGAGAAATAACAACAACAACAACAACACGATTCCATTTATAGAAATAGAAATGAAAGTACAAGGAGAGATAGTACAGCTATGAAAAGCACGAGTAGAGATACAACAACAACATTAACTTGCATTTATATAGCGCCCTTCACACTGGATGGCGTCTCAGAGCTGCAGATATGTGAAGTATTTATCCCCTACTAACTCCCAGTATGAATCTTGTCTGCGGATGTACTGATAGAGCTTGAGCTATAGGTAAAAACACAAAGGGATACATAATGCTATTCAATTCAGCTTTTAGCACATACCTCTAAATGTGGTATTGAGTTAGTGAAGCTGTTGCTGTGGTTTGTCTAATGAACCTTACTGTTCTTTGGCTAATTCAGGATTACAGTGACGGTTGTCTAATCAAATGCTGGTAGATTACTCTGTGTTTAGTTATTAAACATTCCAACTGCCAGACCCATTATCACAGAGAAGGTCACTGCCTAAAGTTTCAAAACGCCAGCATTATAGTTTAGTCAGATTTCATTTATTACCCAGATCAGCGGGCTTGCTTTAATTCTGATTGGACTTATCAACAGAAATGAAAACCTGTCTTTATCCAATTAGGCCGCCAGTTAAGATTTACTGTCTGCAAACTCTTTCCAAAAAGAATCCAACATTACATTCATAATTCAAAGATAGTCAGTCATAACATTGGGGATGAAAGGAAATTTCTGATTTTTTTTTAAATGTTTATTGGAGACGTGTGCTTGGAATATGTCAAACGTAACCAATGCTTCTGAAACCCTTTAGGGCTTTTGATTCTGGGCCACACACAGTTCCTGTTTGAAAAGCTTCAGTAATGTCACGAAACACTGTGGAATGATTTATTTGAAAAGAGACAAAGACTAAACTGTCACTCAGTAATTCGTTGCATGGGTTATGATATCTTCTCGACATATTTCTAAACCAAGTATTCTAAGCTACAATGGAATGAAACTAGTTAATATCCTATTACCAGTGTCACAGGCATTGATGTGATACGGAAGGTTATTTCCATTAAGCTCGGTTGTATTGAAAGCTGGAAAAAGCTGCTGACATCCAACCCTGGTATAATTTGCTTCAGAATGCAAACCAGCAAAAAAAATATCAATCATCTCCATTTCATTTGTGTTATTTCTCGAAAACATCTGTTCTGTCATCAAGTTCTACCTGAAAGTGTTTTGTTTCTTCCTGATTTTCGTCCCGATGCCTGTCCTCTTCTCTCTTGAAGATGACAAGCTTGACTCACACTGGATACCTGGCTCTTTGATACTTTGCCGAAGCATGTGGGAACCTTGTCAGTGAATGTTTCTGGACAAATTGATGGTGTTCAATCTTGAGTCACAAATTCACAATTCCTGCAAGGATCACGGGGTAGTGATCACACCCAAGGTTCTTCCCCCTCTCTAGAATGGAGGCACAGCTTATGTTTATACAGCTGTTTATGTGAAAAAATATAATGGATGTCTCAATCCATTTCACAAAATGAGAATAATTGAAACAAAATCAATACAGTACAATATTATGTGAATATGAAGGCTGATTCTGAGCCTTTTCTCTCTCTCTCTCACTTTCCTCCCCATTACTGCCTCATCCATTCCCTGACTAGGAACGCCACTCCATTACATTGCTCGCCTCTGTCCATACCTCACAACCAATGCAGCTGAAACTCTCATCCATGCCTTTGTCACTTCCTGGCTAGACTATACCAATCCCCTCCTCACTGGTCTCCCCAACACCCCCATATACAAAATTCTATTCATTCAAAACGCCGCCACCCAGATACAAACCCGCACAAAACTATCACCATCACACCAGTCCTTGCCAAGCTCCACTGACTCCCAATTACCGAACAGATCGATTTCAAGATCCTCTCACTTGTTTTCAATGTCCTTCATGCCCTTGCACCTCCCTACCTATCCAATCTGCTTACTCCTAACTCCACCACCCACTGCCCCTGCTCGGCTGGCTCCGGTCTCCTGTTTGTCCCTCGTCCCCTCTGCTCCATCATCGGTGGTCGTACCTTCAGCCACAATTCCCCGAAACTCTGGAACTCTCTCCCTCAATCCCTCCGCCTTGCCACCACGCCCTCCCCACTTTCAATTCCCGCCTTTTTTGATTGTGTTTACGGTCAGCTCCCCCCTCCTTCTCCCCCGGCTCGGCGTCAGACTCTGACATTGTCAAGCCTCGCGTGAAGGGCGCTACATAAATGCAAGTTGTTGTATTCACCCACTGAACTACTGGCGTTTTGATTATCATTGTTTTGTATACTGAACATTGCTACCCACACAATTTACCCCAAAGCAAAATAGCTTCCCACCCTGCCCTAAAAAAAAGCAATATAAACTAATTTAAACACAGCTCCCTGAGGAGAAAGTTAAAAATGATGTTCTCCGATCAGGGTCTAATGATGCTTAATAACCACTGTTGGTTACCTGTGATGGTTTATATCACCTGACCTTTACGATTTGATTACTTTTAACTTGCTCCCAGTTATCCATTAGTTTCTATTTAAACACATCCCTGGGGCACAGGGCTGCAAACATTGCCTTATTTATAATAATCAGCAGTATAATTTCCGCTTTCCCAGTTGAACATCATTTCCTCACACTCTAGTAGCCACTTGATTACAATATAATCCGTCTACAAGTGAATTCCCTTCATGTTGCAATGTATTTGTTTTAGGTGAGGAAGTCCAGGGTGATTCATTCTTCTCCCACTGTAACGCCGTATCTTGTACACAGTTAGTTATATGGCCAAATGGGGTTCCATGGCACAAGGTATTGCCTAAAATTGGGATGAAACAAATAGCTCGTAATGGCCTTCTTCTGTACTGAAAAACTCAATGATAAGGAGGCAGATTTTAATTAGTGTTGTGATGGAGAGCGGAAGTTATTACCAGAGGCAACAATTTGTTCGCTGTGAGCTCACTAACTGTGAGCTGTGCAGGTAGATGTTGTTTGGCAGACGCAAGGCTATTTAAAAAAAAGAGAGACAATTCAAAGTGTTAGCATGATGAGAGGAGCTAAAACCCATGAGTTCTTGAATAAAATCCTGTTGGCAAAAATTATTCCAACCCAAGCAGGCCACAGATAGAAGTGAATAAGGCACTGAACTCAGGCTGATTTCATTGAACTGAATTGTATTTTCTTTCTTTCAGGCCAGCACCCAAGAAGCCTCAGCAATATAGCAAAATTAACCAACATTGTTGACATTTAAATGACTGAAGAACTTTGCCTGCCAGCAACTGACCAAACGTGTTTGCACTATCGGAGGAGTGAATGTGGAGTTAGTACATTTATTAACCAACATTATGAGCGGGAATGGTTCTGCTGTATATGTATATGCTGTGTCAGCATTGCATGACACTTGGGAGTCTAATTTGCAGTATTTCTTAACAGGATTCCTCAACAAGGAATCCGAGTCTCACAAGTGAGACTGCTTCAGGTAACTGGAAATATTTTGCGACAACCCCTCTTCAGGAGCAGAGGTCCCGCAGTCCAACAGAGAATTCTAACAAGATTCTCTATTTTGGAATACCCCAAATTAGACTCCCCTATAAGCCTTTGGTTTCATTTCTTGGCATTTGCAAAGGTTGGCAAGGCTCGGGTGATGACGAAACTGTACTTTTTCATCACCTTTTGGAAGAGGAAACGGTCTTTATCTAAGTCATGCGCTCTCTGTACATAGAGTATAAATATTTTATACATGGAAAGAACCCCTCTGCGAGATCATGGTGCCACGACGATGTTTAGCAAGGCACTTAGCAATGGCTCACTGGAATCTGGTGGGTGACCCCCTCTCACCCCACCGACCCTGCTTCAACTGAAGAAAGTACCCAGACTTAAAAATGCATTCAATTCAGCTTCTAGTAATTGGTTTACAAAATAAATCTTTCTAGAGAGCAAAAGCGCCAAACGTTCTCAGCGCTTTCACTGTATAATTGGGCACCAGCTAGATATAACCCCCTGTGATACCACCCCTGTGCGTGCTTTGTCCAAGCCACTCGTTGTATAAGTGTTGTATCACTCCAGGACGCATGTGGAATGCTATTGAATTAGCCTCACCAACAAATTTCTGCGTGATTCATGATCACCTACGGCTAGGCGAGTAATGTCAATATAACCCGAAGCACTGCATGAGTTAGCAGGCGCTAACCCAGAGGTTTCAAATGCAGCCTTATACTGTAACTAAGTGGTAGGCTCACATCGCCAAAGGTGGTGGCCTAATTGGCTGGCACCCGTTATCTGATTTATATAATATAGCATTAATAGATAAAGGGATTCTGAGCTACTGTTTTTGGTGCTGTGACTCCTGATGGTGCTGTGTACTTGCTCAGGTACTTGTAAATTATTAATTTATGTTGAATATTTATTACAATGCAGTGCAATGTGGTAGACACTTTTACAGTAGCTGAATTTTCTTAAAGGAAAAATTCTCTGGGTGTTGTAATTGTGTTCATTTTTTCAGTGATAACATTCTGTCTAATTGCATCTTAGCAGAGTGAATGTATTTGCTCTAAAGTTCCTAGGGCACCACTAAACACAATGTGCTATTAATCTTTAAACAGCTGAAATAAAACACATTCATACTCAGATAAGGAATTCAGCGCAGATTGGACTGATTCACAGAATTCATTTAAACAAAACCACTGCATTGTTTACTTTTTCTGGCAAAACCATTTTGTAAAATGATTTTTTAAAAAGAAATTCCAAGCTTACTATTAGTATCTGATGTAGTTTATTGATTAAACTATACTCCCACTTTTTGTAGCATTTACATATCCTAGTAGGTCAGCTAGCTATTCAGAGTCCTTATTATATAAATGAAATGTATCTAACATTCCATTCAAGCTTTTTCATGTTTGTTGTACATTTTAGGTTTTACAGGAAAATGCTATTCTGGAGTTTGTTTCCTTTTGCCATTGATTCATCACTATGCTTGTGAATTGTCCAGTATTCAATAAACTCTGTTCAAATAAATCACTTTGGATCATTAGTTATTTGTCATAATAATAATCCTTGCATTTGATATAGTGCCTTATCACATCGTTGAGATGTCTCAAAGCGCTTCGCAGAATATATTGTAAAGTGAATTGACTATGTATTTTGTGGGCGAAACGCAGCAGCCAATTGCACACAGCAGTGTCCAACAAACAGTCGTGGATTGAGTGACCAATTTAAGATAACTAAAAAAAGGACCATCACAATGTACGCAGAATATAAAGAAACAAAATTTTGTCCACAAAAATCATACCACTTTACAATAAATCCTGTGAAGAGCTTTGACATGTCTCGGTGACTTGATAAGGCACTATATCAAATGCAAGGGTTATTATTGTTAATTGTTTTCTATTCTCCTGCATGTCTGCTCGTATATTTTATTAAATTGTGATGAAACTTGGATGGGAGTGCTTGGGACAAGATTGACCTAATTGATATACATATGTTATTTTTTTAAAAAAAAGTTGTACTGCTGAACATACTTATTTAAATTTTCCAATTCGATGTCGAAGAGAAAAATCAGGTTTGAAGGCTCATTACACAGGCTGGGGTTTATAAAACTGTGATGGGTCCAAAATTTAAAAATGATTTGGCATTTTATTAACAAAACAATTAGATCCCTCGAAGCAAATAACAAACTAATTAAAGTCAAACCCTTAACGCACGCAGCATTCACAAACATCCTGAGTTCTAAATAGCCTGTAATGCTTCTTGTATAAAGCTCTGTCAAATGCAAGTCCATATTATCATTTTTTTGAAAGCATCATAGTTTTCTTATTTCAAATAGTTACTTTTTGTGTCCAAGTGCAGAGTGTACAATTCCCATTTATGTGCAACCAATTGCCTGTAAAATGTAATACATGCACTTTCAGGCCAGAAGAACGAAACATGTAGCTCTGCTTCATTGTTCTCAGTGGAGCAGTCTGAAACACTGGGCTGTTGACTGCTCTACTCTTCACTGTTAATTCCCTCCAAAGTCCTTGCAATGTCCTGTTAATGAGGTGCCTGTTGTTTAAGTGAGTATGTTAAAAGCTGCAGCCTTGAATGTTACTCACTGAAACTGGAAATACAATATCCAGGGAAACAGGGGGCTGAGGGACTCTTGCTGTGTTTAGTACTCCACAAGAGGATGTCGGACTCGTATGCTAATTTCCTGAATCCCCATCCTGTTTAATACATGATCTGAAGCCAGTACAGTCTGCAGGAATACTAAATTGGCCACCTCGATTGTTGGTCTGTCTCCCAAAGAAACTTGGAGCTTGGAAGCTCACTGGCAGCTAAATGGGTGCTGATTTCATTTCCAAATGCTGCGTGGCTATTTATCTTGGCCACTTTACAAGGACTAGCCACGTGTGAACATTACAGGCAAACACAATGCTCACACATGTGCAATCCTTTTTGTGAAAAGAAAGAAAACTTCAGTTTTCTTTACCCAGATTGTGTGCAATGGCCAAGTTAAAGTGGGAGGGAAAGTACTTCTTGAGTTCCAAGAACAGGCCAGGAAAGCAGGGGGTATGTGCTATCTAATTTGTCTATTACGAAATTGCCCAAGTATAAATCAAATAGGACATCAGTTCAAATGTGAAACAAACTCCCAACACTATACCAGAATGTAACATAAAACATCTGACACATTAGTGCACATTACACGCTACAGTTCTCTACATGTCATTGTGACTTTTTTTCCCGGCTTTGAATTGCCTGCATGAAGCTTCATGTTATCCATGTTCCCTTTAGATGCTTTGAGGTTCCACAAAGAGGCTTTCACTTCAGTTCTTCGAGCTAACGGTTGACTTTCATGATAGATGGTGTTAAGAGTATAAGCAAACAAAAGAGCAATTCTTGTTGCAATAATTATAAAAGCAGGTGGTATGTTAAAGACATTGAAGCAGTATTATTGTTTGAGGTGCTCTGTGCTAATGTTACGACATTAGGTTAAGAGATTCTCTATATTAACACTGTAGTATGAGGATAACATTGCAGTGTGAAGGGCTAATACTGCTATACAAAAGGCTTGTTCAAAGCACAATTATCTGACTTAAATACATACCATAATTGTTTTTTTGCCAGCTTTGTGCCGAATATTCACATTTGAGCCTACTGTAATTAATAGAGACGTGAGCTTTCCATTCCCAGTCAGAGCAGACACTCACATTAGTGGGGTCCACAGTACATGTCTGTCGGGCATGTCAACCTAGTCATAAGAAACAGGGGAACTACAACAAAGAGTAGATACATTTTAATATGCTCATGTTTTTCATCACATGTTGCATTGCCACTAAAGTGACAGTACAATAAGTACTTTAAATGAATCATGCTCTTGCTAATTAATTACGAGTGAAAAACTTTTTGGTGAGTCATTTCTTCTGTACTTAGCGAGAATATGCAGAAGCCAAGGTTACTCTGTAACCAAGCACTGTGAAATTCACGAGAGAAGCCCAGGGTGTCCGAACAGTTGATCTTTCCTTGTTAGTACCACCTGCATCTCCCATTACATCAACAACAACTTGGATTTAATACAGTGCCCTTCGCGCCAGAAAGTGTCTTAAGAGCGCTGAACAGTGGCAGAACCCGATGCCGAGCCAAGGGGACGGTGAAGGTAACCATAGGCACAATCGAAGAGGAAATCTTCAAGACCTTTCACAAAGCCAAGATTAGTAACTGAATATGTAGAGAAACCAAAAGGCAAACCCATTATGGTAGAAGGTAACATCACTCAGGTGGACGACACCATTTTGCTTATTTACAATGAAGAATGAAAATTTATTGTGTCTGTTGGCTATAAGTATCCCACGTGAAATGATGGTGTAAACCCAGTTCTGAGTAGGCATAACTGTCCTTAATCTATGCTGTTGTGAGAAATGTAAATAGTGGTAGATTGGTTCTTTCCACGTTTTAGATCAGACCTCAGACACATTGCTAGGCCAAAGGAGAGTGAGCTATTTACCTGGATTTGGTGCTGGCATTGAGTCCCTGAAAGTGGTTAGTTTGTCTATAGTAATATAACTCATCTTAACAATGTTACTGGTAATCTCACTGTTTACTCGGGCAATGATCTGGTACCTGTATTTGTCTAGTAAGGGCCATCCTACCCACGAGTGTTTTGACTTCCAGAGTTCAGAATGTGTCTACACCTTTGAGGCCCATTAATGAGCCAGGCAGGCTGGTCAACCTGTGATTGCTATGGTCTCAATCAGCTGTGAATAGCAGGTGTCTTCAGAAATAGTTGAACCTCAAATGGAGACTCATTTTCCTACTTGCCAAAGCAAACATTTTTAAATATGGAATAAACTCAGAAGGATGAAGGGCCCAGTTAATTCAACAGGATTCAGACACAGAACCTTTTAGACCAAGTCCAAGAAGTTTGGCTTAATATGGGCAATGTTCATGGAAAATAATGTTTTTAAAAAAATTCCAAACCAGTTCCAAAAGTTCCAAAAAGGGTCAGCTGAGCCGAACTTTATCTGCAACCAGCCCAGATTTTTCAGACACTAAACATGATCAGAGCACCAAACCTCAGGAAGTACCTGCAGCATTTTCACATCTGTTGTTGTACTTCCAGCTTTTACAATTCAGGAAGAAAGAGAAACCGCAGAACATTTGGGGATAATGGGATGGGATTTAAGTAGGATACAAGTGCAGGTCATTTCTAATAACCCAATTTTTTTTTTTTTGGGGGGGGGGCAGCTTGGGGGGGATTAGTGGTGGATATTTTTTTACTTACAAAGGTGAGAGATGGCAATGTTGGGAATGGAACATTTTACCACTTTTGGCATCAGATATCGATATCAACAATTGTCAGGTCAAGTGTAGCTTCAGGGAAAATCTCTCTTCTCTCTCTAACAATGGATTTCACAACTATAGCAGCTTATCTTCCCCCCAACACCCCCTTCCTCTTTTTATTGACCTCTTCTAATCGTAGCTTACAACTTTAAATGGAAATTGTTCTAAGTGTCAGTCGTGAAGCAACGACATATGGAATGAAATCGGATTTTATTGATTCCATTGGTCTAAGGATTATAAATCTAGTTTATATGACTAATGAATCCCATACCTTACAGTCATCATTTGTCATCCATTCAATTACATCGAGGTGTCCCCCATCCATGGCCCAACGCTTGGGAGATTAGCCACTATTGTCTCGGGCTTCGAATGCTCTGAATTTCGGAATATACTTCACAACATCCAGGTGTCCAGCAAAGCAAGAGAGCATTAAATTGTAACATGAGAAGAGATATAAGCTATGCACTCTTTCAAGTCTTGCCTCAAAAATGTCACATATAATTTTGTTCTCCTCAAACATTAGTCACATTTATTAAACTGAAGATTGAAAGCATGTTTGGTAAAATTACTACAAACAATCAATGCCATATTCCCTATATGTTATTCAATACAATCAATTCAACAAAATCTGGAGTACATTTAATTCAGCGGTCAGCCAAATCTGGTTATCAAACAACCTCTTCAATGGCTTTCTGCCATCTGTATTCTCTATTATCTTACCTATCTTTTCTACTGCATTTCTGATGGTTAACATCTGCACCAGATTTTATCAAAACATTCACCATTCTGACCAGAAGGAGGAAACATAAGAGGAATTTTGTCACCCCTGAAGAATCCTATTTTCTTTACTAGTTGGGACTGTTATCATTTAGCCTTTATGATAATAATCCGTGCATTTGATATAGAGCCTTATCACGTCTTCGCAACATTTCAAAGCGCTTCACATAATATCATAGAATCATAGAATTATACAGCACAGAAGGAGACTATTTGGCCCATCATGACAATTCACTTCATATACTATATACTATAAAGTGAATTCACTTTATATATTATATACTATAAAGTGAATTGACTGTATATGTTGTGGGTGCAACGCGGCAGTCAATTGCGCACAGCAATGTCCCACAAACAGTCGTGGATTGAGTGACCAAAATTTTTTTAAAAATTGGAG